ACGATGTAAATGATGCACTATCAAGAGTTCTAAGTTGGTTCACCGCTAATAAAGTGCATCTTGTTCCATACACCGAGGGTGACCCAGAGGCACTTTACAGTAATCTCTTTGACTGCATCAAAAATGAGTACAAGAAAGTCTTTACTGCGAAAAAAATTCAACCAAAGGAACGTTCGAAATTTAGTGACTGGGCAACTATAGGTATACACAAGAGCAGAAATACACTATATGAGTTATACGGTATGAAAAGGTACAATAATAGTTTATCTTTTAAAGACCATGTCAAAAAATATTCTAAAATGTTTAAAAAAGTTTGCTACTTGGCTAAATCTCTGTATATACGAGATAAAATAAACAATGCCAATAATAAAATAAAAGAGACATGGAATGTAATAAATCATGAAACTGGCAAAACTAAGCCGCGTGACAGTGAATTTGCACTCAAAATAGATGATTGTTCAATTAATACGGACAAAGAAGTAGCAGACGCTTTTGATAAATTCTTCTCTAACATACCACTTGTTACCACTGCAAACTTGAACTCCTCTTCTACTGAGGCTGAATTAATCCTTAAAGATCATGTAGCTCCCTGTAACTCACAACTTACCTTTAAACACATCACTCCTTTGGATATTATAAAAGCTTTTAATATGCTAAATGTAAAAAATACTACTGATCTATGGGGAATCTCTGTGAAGGTAGTCAAGCATATTATCCACATCATTGCCCCACAGTTGGCGATTATATTTAACAACTGTGTGGATAAGGGGGTCTTCCCGGACCTTATGAAGCATAGCAAAGTTCTGCCGCTCTTTAAGTCTGGCAGCAGGCTCGACCCTGGTAATTTTAGGCCAATTTCAATCTTACCAGCTTTAAGTAAAATTTTTGAGAAAATTATACAAGAACAGCTTACGATCTATTTCACTTTAAATAAACTTTTTCATAGTGAACAGTATGGTTTTACTAAGGGTCGTTCCACTACCGACGCTGGTGCTACTCTCCTCAAACATATTTTTGGGGCTTGGGAGGATTCTCAGAATGCCTTAGGGGTGTTTTGCGACCTATCAAAGGCTTTCGATTGTGTTGAACATCAAACGCTAATTCGAAAACTAGAATATTACGGAGTCAGGGATTCAGCACTTTCATTAATTCTATCGTATCTCAGTGGCAGGATTCAAAGAGTAGATATAAACGGAACTATTTCATGTGGGTCACCCGTAAAAATGGGAGTTCCTCAAGGGTCCATTCTGGGTCCATTATTATTTCTCATCTATATAAATGATCTTCCATCATTTGTAAAGAACTCCTGTGAAATCGTATTATTTGCCGACGACACATCTTTGATTTTTAATATTAATAGAAACAAGGCTAACTTTGACGATGTAAATGATGCACTATCAAGAGTTCTAAGTTGGTTCACCGCAAACAATCTGCAGCTCAATGCTAAAAAAACAAAATGTATTAAATTCACTCTGCCCAACGTAAAATCTGTTGATACCCAAATAATATTGAATAATGATACAATTGAGCTTGTGGATACGACGATATTTTTGGGACTTACACTGGACTCTAAACTTCAGTGGGGACCCCATATAACAGCTCTAGCAAGTAGACTTAGCTCAGCTGCTTTTGCAATTAAGAAAATAAGATCTCTAACTGATATTCCAACAGCTCGCTTAGTTTACTTTAGTTACTTTCATAGCCTGCTATCATATGGAATCTTACTATGGGGAAAGGCAGCTGATTTTGAAACTATATTCATCCTACAAAAAAGAGCTATTAGGTCCATTTATAAATTGAAACCAAGAGCATCCCTCAGGGAGAAGTTTAAAGAAATTGGTATTCTCACGGCCGCCTCACAATACATCTTAAATTGTATTATATTTGTTCACCAAAATATAAATAAATACTTGAAAAATAGCGACGTTCACAACTTTAACACGAGAAACAAAAATAAATTAGCTATACCTAATCTTAGACTTCAAAAAGTATATGGTACTTTTATGGGACAGAGTATTCACTATTATAACAAAGTTCCTGAAGACTATAAAAAACTACCCATTAATAAATTTAAAAGTATAGTTAAAGAACACTTACTAAAAAAAGCTTATTACACTACAAATGATTACCTTAATGATAAATTACCTTGGAAATAAGTCTCTCAGGCTCTCACAATGTACCTAATTAATTGTATAGATACATTAGTTGCCATCTCTTTCTATTATATTATGGTGCCTTGCTTTTCTGTCTGGAGTTTTCATACCTTGTCTACTAATTAGTTTTATATCTGGCACTTAGTCAGAAGGGTATCTTGGACTTGTCATGCTCACTAAAATGTCTTTGGGGTAGTGGCGTGTGAGGCGGGTCGCTACATTCCCTACAATATGGTCGAGTGAAGCGATGGCTGGTTCACACGTCATGTCTGTGAACAGGCGCTGCCTTCGGGGACTGGTCAAGACAAGATATACCTACCTTAAATTTTTTAACATAACAATTAACAATCAACTTGACAGTGGCACGGCATTAAATATAAGTATATACAATTTATTTAAAACTACCACACGGTTTTGTTATGGTGCCTTGCTTTTCTCTCTAGAGTTTTCTTGCCTTGTCTCCTAAATAGTTTTATATCTGGCACTTAGCCAGAAGGATATCTTAGACTTGTCATGCTCACTAAAATGTCTCTGGGGTAGTGGCGTGTGAGGCGGGTCGTTACATTCCCTATAATATGGTCGAGTGAAGCGATGGCTGGTTCACACGTCATGTCTGTGAACAGGCGCTGCCTTCGGGGACTGGTCAAGACAAGATATACCTACCTTAAATTTTTTAACATAACAATTAACAATCAACTTGACAGTGGCACGGCATTAAATATAAGTATATACAATTTATTTAAAACTACCACACGGTTTTGTTATGGTGCCTTGCTTTTCTCTCTAGAGTTTTCTTGCCTTGTCTCCTAAATAGTTTTATATCTGGCACTTAGCCAGAAGGATATCTTAGACTTGTCATGCTCACTAAAATGTCTCTGGGGTAGTGGCGTGTGAGGCGGGTCGTTACATTCCCTATAATATGGTCGAGTGAAGCGATGGCTGGTTCACACGTCATGTCTGTGAACAGGCGCTGCCTTCGGGGACTGGTCAAGGAAAGATATACCTGACATAAAATATATGTATCAAAACGCAACAATTAACCTAGAAATTAGCACGGCACTAAAGAAATTTATTCAAAACTGCCACGCGGTCTCGTGCTAGATGGGCGTCTTAAAGGCCACCTTCTATCAACGGGAGCGCGTGGTAAGTAACTTGCTTCTGAATGTATGTAACTTCCTACTTTTTTATTTTTAAACCGTCAGACAGTGGTGACTGAGTTTGTTGCGGCGCTTCTTCTCAGCACTTGCCAAATGTTTGTCTCGAAGCGCTGGTAGGGCAAAAAAAGAATGAGACATGTATAGGCTCCTTAAGAGCATTTGACGATTTGCAAGAACTAATTTAATTAGTCTAAACAAATAAAGATAATTTTGATTTTGATTTTGATTTTGATTGAATGCCCTTTTAGGAGCCGTTGCTCTCGTGTTCCTAATTCGTCTTTATTAGATGCTGGCACATTCGGGACGCTCCAAAATTTTGTCTCTGACGATCGGTGCGGGTGTGTAATCGCTTTTAATCTTTCTGCCTTTGTCTTGAACATGGTGAAATATTGTACAAACAAGGGTAGGCTGTTAAAATTTGGAGCACGTTCTTTATCGAAGTGGCAGATATTTATACGGATCTCATAACCAAAATTGCTGTCGCTGAATAGATTCTGAAATCCTAATTTCACAAACTCTTATAATTTGTCAATAACATTATACACGACTTCCACAGAAAGGAAAAATATTATCACTAAAATCATATTCCAGTTGATAAACGGATATCGAATATTGTATTGCTCGAAAATTATTCGGAAATTTTAGTTCTAACGCCCCCGGACGCTACAAACTGGGACAATTCCGGAGAATCTCGGACGACGTGGCAGCCCCAGTTATGCATAATACCTAGCGCTGGGCATCATAGTCACGGCCGCTGACTCAGGCGACCTCCGTGGGCGGCGGTACACTGACCTTTACCGGATAGTTCGTAATATTAGACGTGATACGCGTCGTTTGCATTTGCTTACACTTTACAAGTTTACATCGATGATGGAGGTTATCCAGGAAGAAAAGTTATAAATAATTTCACATCTTTACGGATACCTACATCCCAAACAAATCCAAAACAAAACAAGACCAATTACAAACTTACTGACTTCTTGTTCTTTTAGAAGTATTAACTCTTTTGTAATTACCCATTCCTTTGAAGCAACCCGCCTATTAAACTCTCGTCGAACATCAAGTCGCTAACTCGAGAATTTGACGACGGCTTTAAAGCTTCGACAGCGAGAAAGCTTCTGGAATCAAGGTTAAGATTTCTTTGAAAACTTGTTTTAATCTTTCAATAATGTATTACTCTTGTATCCACGTAAGATGTTAAGATATTATGCTCCAATTTTTGTGCTGATACGAGTATATTTTATTTCTGCGCTCTTCGAAACTCATAATCGTAAAATATTTTTCGAAAAGAAGACTTATAATTTTAAGGCCATGTGGCGACGTGAAGCACCGGGCCCTATTATCTTTATCCGTTGCTGGCAACGCGGCAACGTTCCGTGTATCGTCTTATCTTGATGGAGGGCGTTCCACGTTTTTTTTGTCAAAATGGGGTCTGCGGCAAATGCGATTAGCCGCTACTTACTTATTTTAGACTTATTTCGCTAACCAATATGACTAATACCAATGAGCTATATTTTAATGAGGGCTCACCAGTAGGCGCCTGAGAAAGGTCCTTGCTAGGCTAGGTGACTAAGACAGTGGCACCAACTCTTGGCGCTGAAATGGTTGGAGGACTTTTGCGTTAGCTCTCGCCAGGGTGGCGCCATTGTAGAGTTAGGTCCTGTTACTCGCCAGCCTTCATTGTTTGATTTTAAAACGTTTGTTGATGGTTTGTATTTGTTGCAGGGAAGAAGTGCGCAACCACGCGGTGCGGTGGAACGCGCAGTTCTCGTTCGTGTGCAAGATGTGCGCGAACGCCAACACCGGCGTGCTGGAGCCGGCGCTTATGCGCGTCTCCGTACGCAAGGAGTGTAAAGGTAACCTTTATTTTATTAGTATCAGCTCACAATGTCCCAGGGGCTTTAGGCTGCGTTTCCACCAGAGATGTGCGAGGATGCGATTTACCTCGCCTCGATAAATGAAGCGATTCTATTGGTTCTTTACAAACACATTCCTCACTACGCATTCTCGCATATTTCTGGTGAAAATGCAGCCTAACGCAGGTGTCACATGTAACAACAGACGTCAGACACTTATACCGCGATGCAGGTTTACGTAGCGCGTTTAATATGTGGAGCTATGGCAGCATAAAGATTGAGTTAGGTACACAGTTGAGTGGTTGTCACCACAAAATCAATTTAACTTGAATTACAGCGTTGGGTGACAATGATAAAGAGGTTTTCCACGTCTATCGAGCTCTAAAGGCAAGTCTGCATATAAATACTGCACTGCATTGTGCGCGCCTCCATTGTCCCTGTATCGTGTATTCACCTCCCGCGTCACACTAGCCTACTATTTGATCCGCCAATATTTATGCAAGCTGTTACGAACTTAACGCAAAATGTATTGTCATCATGCGCATTGTGTTGCAGTCAAGTCGTTAGTCAATATAGGAAGTGTTATATTGGATAATAATCTCTCGGAGAGGATAAGTTACACAAAATAATAACAACTCAAAAAAGAGAACCTACAGTGTTGAAAATAATACACAATATAACTTTTGTTTAGATGAATATCTGAGTTAGATACGTTACTTGGTATTTCGCATATTATGAAGCTAATGGCTTCATAATCATTATTATGATAAGAATCTAAGCTTTTCGTAGAGTTTATTTCAAAGCTTCTTCTGTATCTTGAGTTTCATTTAATTTGAATTTGAATAATTGTTTGATAAAATTCAGTGAAATTTATCTTATATCTACAATGTAAGTTTTTCTTAAAAATGAACTGATCATATTATATCCGAGAACATCTTTGTTGAACAATGTGTAGCAAAATGAATGGCGCACTCAATCAGGGCTTCCACCGGCGCCCGAGCCAAAACGTGCAAATTAACAGGCCCATAAATCTACGCAGTGTTTGCCGCAAACTTATTCAATTAGTTTGCGTGTTGACAATCTCTTTATAGCGCCCTAAATCAAAACACTATGTAAAAACTTCATTTCATAAATTATGGATTTCACAAACAACTATGTATTGTTATAAATGTTACACGTACCATCTGTACGATTACATCGAACATTGCAGCGTCAACGCTTTAGATTAAGTAGGCGCTTGCTTATATGTTAATTGCTAATTATTTTTAGTTTAGTTCACGTTCAATTGTCACTGTGTGCACACATCAATAATAAACCTATCAAGCTTCATCAAGTGTTTTCCTGTTCACTATCAAGATAAATGTATGAGTTAACAAGGACTCATACACCATCAGATGTAAGAGTAACTTTGGGATAGGAAATGATTACGCAAAACGATATCCATTAATTAACTTTACATTTATTAAATTTCAATTATATTCCAGCTTATGCAATCCTTTACATTTTTTCAGAAACTACACAATTTTATTGCATTACGCTTAATCACGATATTGCAAATCTGCACGAATCGAGTTCAGATTGCGCGAACTGTGCCAAAAAACTAACTCTGTTAAGCTAGTGTAACTAATGAGCGGCTCAGCTGGATTTCTTTATAGTGGAAGTTTTAAAATGTCACTTGCGAGGGCGGGCGGCCGTTAGTCGGCTAACGGGCATAAAGCCTCGTTGGGCGGCGAGCGCTGGCCTCCGCCCGCCCTCGGGATCGCCATCAATTTAAACTTGCCCACTTTATAAGTTGTTCTTTATTTCCTCAGTCGGTAGTTGATAAAAATGCCGGAGTCTAGAAAAGATTGTCATTGCTCTCTTTTAAATCAAAATAGAATTGATTGCTACTTTATTCTTTTGATTGGTTTATAAATCTGTGCAGTAAGTATGTAGAAATTACATGTATGTGAAGTGAATTTAGTGATAAGGAAAATATGACTAATTGTAGACTATAATGATTCACAGAACAAGCCTTTTATTATCTACATACATTGAATGATAACTAAAGAAAGACTTAATAATTTTATACAAGTTTATCAATCTTTTATTTATCTAGTTGAACCAATCAATTTCACATCAAAATGTACGGAATTTCAGCTGTATCGATTCCAAAGCTGATATCAAACGCCTACGTTTGTTAAACTGATATTGAATGTTTTTAACGTTTTCAGGTGGCCGGAAATTGGCTTCCTGAAACATCTATCAATCAACTTCTCGCCAAATTGAAAAAGTAGATCTCAAATTAATTTGATGCTGTTTTCAACAGTCCATCTGAAAATTAATGGTTTTGAGCTTCCATTAATCAGTGTACGTAGATATATTTTTCAATTGGTCCCAGAAGGTCCATTCGCAAACGGACCATTGAACAAATGAATGGGACGAATTGCGTCAACCCATAACAAACATGGTGACAACTATTTGTCACCGCCTGTGAAGGGCTAACCTAACACTTTAGTAGTCCAGTCCAGTAGTTGTACAGTCACGGAATGAAAAAGTTCGTCAGTTTTCAAATTGATTCCTTCAACGAATCGCGAGCACATATTACCTTTTGAAACTATGTTACAGAATAATCTCGAGTTAGAAAAAATAATCTTTAACTGTTCGTCAGTAAAGTACAAAATTATTCAGATCAAAGTTGTTTGACGATTTATCTTGTCAAGAAGATTATTATGATTGATAAATAAAACCTTCTTGTTGGTTCAACCTGCCATTATTATTTCTATCAAATAAAAAAAACTATTGTCAATTGGTCAATGTCATCATTGCATTGCACTGATGGGATAGAAAAATAAACAAGCAAAACCTTATTCGTTAGCAAACGTCATATTTATTTAAATGTTAGCAGCACTGTTTCTAGCACTGTTATGTTGGCAGGTTTGACTCTTACAGTACCTAGTGCAAGCGAAAACCGACACTAAGGTGACGAACCTTTTCATTCCGCGACTGTACATGGCCATTGCAGTAGTCTTTAAACGTATTAATTGTGACGTCATTGTGGTGGTTGCAGGCGGTCGGTCGTACAAAACATGCATTGCGATGTGAAAACAATTCGCACCACCTATAAAGACTAATATGTACCCTTATTCATAATAAGGCAAACAGCATAATAAACCTATTTTAACTATTGCACTGTTTTGTCACTTTCTATCTATATGACAGCGCCAAGTAGGAACGAGAGAGATAGGTTTAATAAGATGTTTGCATTATTGTGAATAAGGGTATGACACTTCAGCAGCCCGGTATACTGGGCTACTTCTGTACTTCCTATGATATTCCTATACTTTACTTTGTGTCACTATGTTCTTTATATCTTCTACGTTAAGTGCAACATTTGTGCGGTGGTTGCAGGCGGTCGGTCGTACCAGAAGCTGGGCTCGGTACACTGGCCTCCTTCTGTACTTCCTATGATATTCCTATTACTTTACTGTTGTGACACGACACGATTATGTACTATCGCCAACAGTTTTAACTGCCCATTGAAACAGTGGCGGCGTAGCATAGGTTGGCACCCGGAGCGGCACCGTCATAATATAAATTATAGCCTAAGGCACCCCAGAATGGCACCCCCCCTGTCATGACATCACGACCGTCCTTGCCATGCAGATGCGTCAGTGAGTACTAATCTGCGCGACTTTGTCACCCCCTGATGCTTGGCACCCGGGGCGGACCGCCGCTACTGCATTGAAAGTCATGTCATCTCGTTATATCGCAAAGAATCGCCATTTGATTAGAGCGAGAGCAAAAACGGAAATGGATAGTTGACAGTGGTGACTGAGTTTGTTGCGGCGCTTCTTCTCAGCACTTGCCAAATGTTGGTCTCGAAGCGCTGGTAGGGTAAAAAGATTATGAGACATGTAGAGGCTCCTTAAGAGCATATGACGATTTGTAAGAACTATTTAAACAAATAAAGAAATTTTGACTTTGACTTTGACTTTGTGTGTACTTTATAGGGTATACATTAAGTGCAACATTTGCGTGATGGTTGCAGGCGGTCGGTCGTACCAGAAGCTGGGCTTCTGCGACGTGAACCTGGCGGAGCTGGCGGGCGCGGGCGAGGCCACGCGGCGCTGCCTGCTGGAGGGCTACGACCTGCGCCGGCGCCAGGACAACTCCGTGCTGCGCCTGCGCATCAAGATGAACATGATCTCCGGCGACCCGCTCTTCAAAGTGTGAGTCCACCGTTCACTAGTTTTTTTTATCCACAACGAGGATGCTCTTAGCCTGTATCTCACCTGACGGTAAGTGATGATCAGGCCAAAGGTGGAAGCGAGCTTCACCCGGAATCCTCAACCACGGAGGAACTGGCTATCTTATATCTAAGTGCCGGAAAACAACAATGTTAACATTGTTGTTATGGCGACAGACTTAGGTAAGATGGTGGTAAGCTAGCCAGGCGGACTTAGAACAAGCCCTACCACCAACCAAACTGAACAGAAAAATCTGCCCCCACTGGGAATCGAACCCGGGACCTCTGCGTCTGAAGCAGGTGGTTTTACCACTAGACCACAGAGGCGGTTAAATGTTCCGCAGCCGACAGAGTATAGTCTGCAAACGATGCTTGATGAGCAATACTACCGCGCTAGTGATAGCACTTGTAGGACGACGCGTTGGTCCATGCTGAGTGACGAACAACCTTTCATTATGAAGAAAACCACGAAGTAAATCGTGAAGTATTTCGTGTAAGTTTGCTTTCGCGTCAATAAATCTTTTTTTCTTTCAAGGTATTCCAATAGAGATAACATTTTTTCGTATGTTATCTTCTCATAAGCGACTACATTCTTTCAACATGAATACACAATAAGCACTTCAGTGATAGAAGTGTCTTTTAGACGCGTGAAAACATCGCTGTATTTGTAATAATCACAGTGCGAAATTAAATTATGCAAAACGGGTACACACTACTCCTACGCTTTTTTCCCCTTTACTTGAGATGTGACGTCAATTGCATCGTGCGTCTGTAATACCTTTTTTTCGTAAACTTTTCTGACGTCATTACGACACAAAGCCAAACCAAACTTGTGGCGTCACATGAAAATAATGATGGCTCAGGACTTCGTAAGCAAAATCCCAAACCTCATTTGCATTTTATGTTCGTGCCGCCACTTGACATTTACACTGAAAATACAGGTGAACTAATCGCTAAAAACCGCCGTAGACATGATTCATGTAGGTACAGCTGAAAGGAAAAATAAGTTGTCAATATGGGTTTTATTGTATTCGCTGTAATGCTAAAAAGTGGGGCAAATATAGATGACCCACGCTGAACTGTCCCACCACCAAACTCAATGACAGGGGGCTGGGGGGCGCTACCATCGTTCAACTATTATGGTTTCCAACATGGCAAAACTCGGAACCAGCGATCCAGTATTAACGGTGGCGCCGCGCTGTCAATGTCATGGATAGGACAGTTCAGTATTTTGGAACTATAATATTGCTGCTGAGTGTCAAGTGTCATGTGTGACGTGTAACCGCACGTGCCGCTAAATGACCGCAGTCTGCGTGACGAGAATATGACCTTACGAGGAGTGCGCGGGCGCAAGGAATCGCCGCGAAACTTATTACACGCAACATTCGGCCGCTCTGGCGTGTGTGTGCGCCTTAACGACACTAACGACTACACCTCAGATCATAGAAAGAGAATAGATATGATGTCGCGCGTAACTACAACGAGAACCAGTGTCCCCACATTTCCCCCACCACAGCTCCCACACACACATTCAACTGTGTAAAAACAAAGCGACTGAGAGTCTACCACAACATGTGCAACCGGCTTAAAAGTGCTGTGATTGGCCAGAAGGCGTGCCTTATGGCCAATCAATGGCCGCGTGACGTGACGCACACTTTGAAAAAAGCAATTAGAGAGAAGAAAGATAAAATGGAGTCGATAAGATATCGATACTTTAAATCCTGGGGGCAAGGCTCGAAATTGGTTTAAAAAATGCTTGTATGAAAACCTTTTTATTATTATACGTTATTATTATGTTCTTTAACGATTTTTGCATAAAGGAGTCAGTTCCATTTTGTATGGACGAAAAACTCAGAATCAATTATTGGGACTAAATGAAGTTACCTTATATTAATTTACCCCAACCAAAGCTCAATGTCGTTATCGATGGAGTATAGAAGTTATAGACTGACAAAGTTTGTATGAAAAGTCATGGGTTAAGTAGGTACTTGCGATTTTTACCAGTATTTACAATATTGGTNCGCCGCACCGCCACGCGCGCGCGCTCCACGGCGCCCGGCGCGCCCGCCGCCGCCAGCGCCGCCGCGCCCTGCGCCAGCGCGCCCGACCCGTCCGCGCCCACCACGTACCTGGTGCCTGTGTACAAAACTAACTGAACGCTATGCACGATGGCTCGCCCGTACTGTAGTAATAGGCGAGACTTAGAAGCGCTTGTGTGATATTTTTCGTTCAATGTGGTGGTTTCCACGTTTCCTCGCTCACCGCAAATGTGTTCATCCGTCAAGATGGCGGGTGCGAGGTCCAGAGGCGCCACGGGCTCGTCGCGAGTCCAGCCCTCTGCGGTCACCGGGCCCGAACCGAACGGCGTTGATAGACCTCTGAAATAGCAACATGAGCTTAGATTATACTATACATATATTATGTATTATTAATCTATGAAAATTAGCATGAACTTCACAGTACATAAAATTATTTCAGAATCCAATAAAATGTATACTCTGAACAGTGTCATAGTCACTCACGTAGCCAGTGCGACGTAGGTGTCGAGACGGTCCACCACCGCGAGTCCCGTGGCGACGCCCGCCGGTGGCCAGTCACCTTCCGCTGCTTGCTGCAAGGAGCTTACGACTCTGAAATTAAGTTGAAAGAAAAAAAATATTTTTATCCTGCTCCGGGCTCGTTCGCTTTGACACACGAGATAAACGTAATCATGGTACCTACTACGTACCTTCGCTCGGCGTCGTCGGCGTCAGTGGGCGGCGGCTGCAGCGCGGCGGCCAGCGCAGCCAGGGCAACAGGCGCGCCGGCGCCGCCCGCCCACGCGCGCCAGCCGCCCGCCGACGCCGCGCGCGCCGCGCCCGCCCGCAGCGTCGCCGCACCGCCCCATGCCGCAGATAGCTCTGAAATCACACCTCAACTTCTTCCTCGTCACATTCCGTCTGATACCTTAGGTTTAGGTCTCACGGTGCAGACATCCCTCACTCATAAATATATTTATTTATCTTATATTTATGCTGCAGGATAGGGAACTAGAAAATTAGGGGAAAACTAGAGATTTAGGGATTTTTTTCCTATAGTTTAAGGCTTGGTATTTCTTCTAAAGTAGGTATTTCGCGCTGTCAAAATCTGCGCGCGCAATTCTTCGCCGAAAACAGCGCGTCAAAGAGCTCCCGCCACAATTTCCAGCTACACAGTATAGAAATACTAGTAATTACATAGTTGACAGTTACTAATCCCTTCTACTATTGTTATTGTTTTTGTAAAAACTTAAAAATCGCAAGCAACTCATGATTTTTTCATTCAAAATTAGAAAATAGAAAATAATAATTTACTTCTATTTATCGATAATAGGAAACCGTATTAGAACACGAGCCCTGCACTATGTTACGACCGGCACATGCGGCCGTACTGTGTATTTTCACGCGTCAGTGGATATCGGAAGAAATAAAATACATTGCGCAGTAGTTACGCATGACATAAAGTGGTTGCTAACTAAATCGTCAATGTACAACGTGTTTGAATTTTTATCACCACTAATTTCGATATCGCAGTAAATGTCACGGCACTGAATTCGTTCGTAAAAATGTTTAGTTTTTTTATTTATAAGCAAAATACCAATGGATTTGCAATACTTACATGTGGTAAATGACTTCATTGTTCCTGTAGTTCTTCGTTTCACTTATGTTATTGCACGTTACGACGCATTATCCAACAATATCGGAGAACATTTCCTCAGTACGACTGAATCGCGATTAACCTGGCGTCGCGGGCGATGTTCGTTTCTGGGCATATCGCGGAGACACGCGCCACGCCCCCGTTTCACATCTATTCCCTTCTATGATCTGAGGACTACACTATTACGGGAATTCGCATAAAAATGTTTCACATTAAATTGAATTGTTCTGTAATCGCCTTTGTGCCGTAACTGATTACCTATGTTAGCTATTTCAGAATTTATAGTTTTACAGAATTTTATAAATTAATCTGAAAGCCGGTTATTATGTGCCTCTCGTATCAACATTAGAATTATAATAATTTCATTCAATGGTACAAGAAATGAAAAAAAAAAGAATTACCTGTTTAATTTCAGCAAATAATAAAATATCATACGAGTATCAATTAAGGAATGGCGTGACTTGTACATTTCTATTCATGAAGCCCGCCGGCAAGCGCCATCTTTCTTACGACGCTCAAAGTTCGATTCAATATTCTGTGGAGGAGGGTAGTTGAAAGGATAGCATGGTCGATTCGTTCCAATGATTTTAATTGATTCATTTATTAGATTTTATTGTACAAATCTGTTGTTATTTTGTGTTTTAAACGTGTACCTAGTGAAGTGATAAAAAGACATTTCGAATTCAATCGCGGATCGGGTGACAAGCGATTCGTCGTGTGGACAACTCGCTTGGGACCGTTAGCGTGGAACATGCATAAACGGGAATACTTCGCGGAATAGAACTAAACCAAAGCAAAAGAACTAGAACACCCGCGTTTTATTTTGTCTTGGAGTTGGTGTATATTCGCATCCCAACTAATATTATAAATGCGAAAGTAACTCTGTCTGTCTGTCTGTCTGTCTGTTACGCTTTCCCGCTTAAACCTCGCAACCGATTTTGATGAAATTTGGCATAGAGATAGTTTGAGTCCCGGGAAAGAACATAGGATAGTTTTTATCCCGGTTTTTGAAACAGGGACGCGCGCGATAAAGTTTTTCTGTGACAGACAAAATTCCACGCGGGCGAAGCCGCGGGCGGAAAGCTAGTAATCAAATACTTCACACGACATTGGTAGCAACAAACCTAGAAAAGAGTTTTAAGCATTGTAATTGACTATTCCCACCTCCGTTCCCACCGCTGCAACTCCTGTATAGCCAGGATCTACAGCTTAACTGCCAATAAAAAGATAAAAACCCAACCAGTGAAGGTGAAGTTTGTCTCTGTTGTTTGAGCATTGTTCCATAAAACGAGTTTTACTTGCAAGCTGTGTATAACTAGTGTGTTTCGTCTTCCAGGCCCGAGAGGAAGCAGGAGGTGGTGGAGCCGAAGCAGGACAGCGGGTCGGAGAGCGCGGCGCCCGACGACGACGCTGCATCGTCCACCGCCTCGTCCGGCTTCGGCTCGCTCACTAAGAAGACCGCAGGTCAGTTCCTGTTGTAGCTAAAGTTTTTTCTAGTCTAATAGTCATAGTATTGTTGGAACCGATTTCAATCTATTGCTATTACAAGTCAATACCATTTTGCCATTCAGTCCTGATCTTTTGGAGGTGATATTAAGTTGTATTGTACTTTTTTTGGATCTACGATGTGTAAACACTTGCGAAGTGCAGGCAGTGTGATATTACCTACAGGTCTGAATCGAAGAATTCAACAAACTAAACAAATACTTCAGTACCTACTGCCACTAATATTTTTGTAATAGATATGCTTTACATTGTGTGCAACTTTACTGAATGGTTACTAACTTTAATCCTTGGTTAATTTCCAGGCGAAGGCGGGCACTCGGCGCCGCTGTCGTCGCTGCCGTCGTGCGAGCTTCCCTCCCCCGACGCCGACGACTCACCCGTCGCCGCGCCCGACTTGCCGGGTAACGTACTTTTATTTTATTAAGAAACCATTATTGACTAGTTTACTAGATGTTAGCTAACTTATCTTGCTTATTAGAAGTTAGCTTACCTATGTAAGCTAAAATTAAAATGTACGAAATCAGTCTATGATGACTTTTATGCCAGTATGTACTAGTGGTAATCGCCAGCTGTTTAACAGACATTTTCATACGTCACATGTAAATTCAATTCAAATACATGTTACTTAAAATAGATGAATTCTAGGGTAACATTATCCGGAGGACGACCCTTTCTAAATTAATTTACCAGAGACTAAAAGGAGGTTTTGACCTACACTCCTTACACAGATCCTGCGGTTAGGGGGTCTAATGTTCGCATAATATTTCTCCCTCAGCCGCCACTTATAACACCCGCTGGAAGAATGGAGGTCGCCCTATTCTACTCTAAATATAGTCCCACGATTCTGAAACGTCAAGTGGCAAAAATCAAAAACTAACAACCCAGTCTAGATAGTAGCGCCCTCCTGACAATTTCATAGCTGGGACCATAGATATAGAGAGATCCCAACTAATGCGTTGAGTTTGAAACTCAGTGTCGCATTAGAAATTCACGCACACAAAGTAATCAAAATATGCGCTCATTATCCACTGCAGTATCAGTACTCCACGTTCGAATAATCTTTAGTACTACGCAAGCAATGTAAACTGTTTACATTATAACGTCGCTGCTGTCATCATTGTTGTATTCACGAGAGATGTGTTCTGTTTTTGGGCATATTGCTGCGACACCGGCCACGCCCCCTAGTCACATCTCCCTTTAGTTTCTTAGTGGCTGGGACGGTTCAGTGGTGGACATCCATAACGTTGTTTTCTTTTGTTTGGCAGCGAGCGCGGCGTTAGCATTGGCGGGTTCGGGCGCGGTAGCGGGCGCGGGCGCGGCGCCGTGCGCGTCGTGCGCGCACACGCACTCGCGCAACTCCTCCAACACCTCCGGCGACATGAGCAGCAAGGTACGTGCCTGGACAACTAGTTATCAGCCTATTAAATTGTAGTGAGACAGAATCAGTTTTTTTAACAGTAATTTCTTAATCCCTAATTTCATTTGACGCAAAGACTCGTGGCAGGCGGTGTAACATAAAACAGTGCATATCACATTTTCTCTCACACACTGGTTATGGGTGACGTCACTCAAATTCCTGCAATGAACATAGCGTTGTTTATAATACGTACTAATTAATTAATAAAATATTGGCGAGTGTGCATCTCTGTTTCAAAAATTACTTATGGCCCCGCCTGCCCTGAGTCTACGTCGAGTTATAATTGAAACTCGAACGAAAGTTGAACACTAGTTAAAAGTGACGGGAGATGAAATTGTACACAGTTGTATCTAATTAAAAAAGAGGCTGACAAAGGTGACAGAGTTTCTTCCGCCATATTTTCTTCCCGGCACCAGCCCATATGTTGTCGAAGTGGTGGTAGGGCAAACAATACTTGAGGACGTGTATAAGCGCCCTGGAAAAGCTTTGACTTTGAGTATATTCAATTAGCGTGTAATTTAAAATATAAAACTTTATCAGAGATTTTCGTAGTCCCAAACTTTTAAATCCACGAGGAAATGTAAATATCACACCAACAGATGACGCAGCTCGTAATACTTTAAAACATAGCTACCACGAGTGGCGACAAGTCGCATACGGAATACAGGACATATCGTACAACATCTCAATTGAATGGTTTCCTTCCAGGCGTCAGGCTACGGCAGCTCCGCGTCGGGTGCGTCGGCGCACTCGCGGCAGAGCTCCGAGGGCGAGCCCGACGCGCGCCCGCACCACAACAGGTGAGCCCGCACGCCCCGCTACGCCCCGCAACGACCCGCGACGCCCCCCAACACCCCACCACGACCCGCGATGACCCGCGACGCCCCGGCCCGCGGCGCACTGTACAGACGCAACACCCGCACGTCACTAACCCTATTTTATTTTACCGCCCTGTAGTTGGGTCAGTCAACTGTTTTTTGGACTATCATCTGAAAATAACAAATGGTTTTTGTATAGTATCTGATCACTCTTACTCTTGTGGAAATAAGAAAGAGGTTAAGATGATTATTGAGCATTGTAAATTGAAAACATTATTCCTGATTTCTACGGGTAGTTTCAATGCTGTTTGCACGTTTTTTTTATTCTTCTTCTTATCGTGTCGACAACAAACCTACACAGTGTCAGCTCAAAACTCCGCTACAATATGTCAGCAGCATTCATTAAATCCTCCTGTGTGTAGTTGCTCGGGCACTCAGGGCATGACATCATGTGCAACATTGACTGCTTTTTTTTAATTTAGTTTTTTAATTCTTATCGCGTCGACAACAAACCTACACAGTATCAGCCCAAAACTCTGCTACAATAATGGCGTTGTCAGCAGCATTAATTAAATCCTCCTGTGTGCAATTGCGTGGGCACTCAGGGTGCTTCATCAACTGATTTGTTTATTTTATTGTTTGTATGATGATTTGTACACAAGCTTTCATTTTCACATTTTGGGGAAAATTGCGTTAATAATTAATTTTCATATTGATATTTGGGAAGTCATTTTTATCATACTTCATACTTTTCACATCATATTAAAAAGCGTGTTAGGGCCAGAACCGTGCCAAAAAACAGTCGTCCGACCCGTCTACGCTTTATTAATTTCGTTTTATGTTTTTATCCCTCCCCGCGCGCAGCGTGCGAATCGAGCGCACCACCGTCGTCACCACCACCTCCCTCTTCATGCCCTCCCCCCCGAGCGGGCCCTCGGACGCGTCCGACGTGTTCCTCACGCCGAATTGCACGCTCGTGCCGGACGTCGTGCCTCGTCCGGAACCCTGCTCGCCCGCTTCGGACGAGTATCGCACGCCAGACGCTACGCTCGTGCCCACGATGCCCACATACTTCGACCGCAAGCGAGCGCCGGCGCCGCCCACGCCCGCCGCCGAACCTCTCACAAACTTCCACATCCTCAAGCAAAAGTCGCTGAACACGATCCCGGCGCTGCTCGAGCGCTGCCGCAAGAACGAGGAGCTATTCAACAACTTCCCGTTCCTGACGCCGCTCGCGCACCGCAAAAGCTCGCTGGCCATGGCCGCCAGCCGGCTGTCGGGCTGCCTCGAGGACGAGCTGTCGCTGGACGGCTGGGGCTCCGCCGAGGACCTGCGCGCGCGCCTGCGGCCCGCCGCTTCCACGCCGCACGCGCCCGCGCGACACAGCTACACCGCCCACGCCAGGTGAGCGCCGCCACGAACACTCGAATTTAGCCGTGGATCACTGATCTCTTACTCACGACGATGCGATGATGTGGAAGAAAAATTTACATACGGACCAGTGTTGTGTGTAATTTTTGTAATTTTAAGAATCAATTTGGCAACGTGAGATAATAGTGGACTTGGGAACAAAGGCGATACTGCCGGCAGTAAAATGCATTCAAAACTGCAAACCTTGTGCCGAGTATTGCCTTCTCCAGTCAACTATTATATTAATTCATTTATTAATATATTTTTTTAATCATTTTAGTGTTTTTTTTTTGTTCCTGTAAATATATTTTTCTTCCTAAGTTAATTATTTATTTATATTCAAAATTTGAATGGCGGCTAAACTCGACTCGTGCGTTCCCGCTTGCCTCGCACTAACCGGTCGGGCTGCTCTGTCCTCTGTTCTGTCTCGCTCTCTTCTGTCCATATGGGTGACGGTAGTTGTAAGAAATGTTTTGTGTTCTGTGATATTAAAATGTGGGTATTAATATTTTTTAAAGGAGTTTAAGTTATCGTGTGGTGAAATATGTGAATATCAAGTGTTAATGTGTTTTTGTGATAACCAATGTGTGTGAGAGTGCAATTTATACATAACGTTGGGTTAAAACCGTTTATACAACAACACATCGTTGGATTTTACGTTTGTTTTATACCATGATCCAGTCTACAGGTGAGAGAGCTGGGTCAACTTTAGCATATCACGTTTTTTCTCGTTCATAAACTTCTATAAGCTATGAAATAATGTTGCGTTCAAATAGTATTAAGATAGAAGCTGGTGAATAATGGCCACTGACTGCACCTCACGCTTGAACAGTACGTGAAGCAACAATATGTTACTTTTTTCTTACACATTGTATTGTTGCTTTTTGTGATCAGAATAAATTATTTTATTTGAGACTCGCATACCTGCGACATTGTATGAATGCGTATTTATATGCGTATTTATGCGTATGCGTATTTGTGTGTATTATAAGTGCGTCACATACTAACCTCACTCGTTTGACGCACGCCTCTGAGAATATACCTTCAACGGGAGATGTAGTCAGTTGGTATAATTTACGAGATATACTACGCGTATTGTTTCGCAATACAGGGTGACTTTGTTATCAGTATCCAAGTTTTTTTAATAAGCTCGTTAGAACAATTTGACAATACAACTTTATCGTAATTATTTTTATTGTGGTATTTTTCGCGAAAAAAAATTGAAAGTCTAATTCGCGGGTGCCCATATTTTAAGTTTTAAAGGTTATTGCTTATTTTCGCTCACCGTTATGTCTATTAAGCTTTGCAGTAAACTGTGTGTACATTTTTTTCCATGAACGAAGCAAATTTTCCACGTGAGTCAATTTGGAAACCGCGCGCAGCGGATGAAAATAATTAATTATGGAGAAAAAAGTTTTGTTTTCTTTACGTAAATCAATTAAGTTACTGAAGAGTCGATCCTGAAAATTTGGATACTGATACAAAAATCACCCTGTATTTCTCGTCGGTGACGCAAGGTGTATTGCATTGTGCGTTGTCCGCCCGTGGCTAAGCTGTGACCCGACAGGGCGGCGGGTCCGGCGGCGGCGGCGGAGGCGTGCACGTGCGGCCGGCGCGAGGGCTCGCTGCCGCGCCGGCCCAGCTCGGCGCTGTCAGTCCACAGCCCATACAGTAACACCCGCGGTTCGGGACACTGATCGCGACTATACTCGTATTACTTACTGAACTCTATTCGAGGGTTTTCGCGTATGAAAAATCCGCCAGATGGCAATACGATGACGCGAGGTCCAAATGCTGCACGATTGGTTATTTTTGACATGAAATTGACAGATATGTCAAAATCCACCAATCACGCAGCAGTCAGACCCCACATCTACGTCCCGCCATCTAGCGGATCGAAAACCCTCATTGGCTCTAATTTGGCACCTTCACTTTCTTCATTTTGTAAACATGATGGGAAAAACAATTGTTCAGGAATTCAGATGGAAGAAGTTTTTGGCATAATATAGAAGTTGCTTTACAATAAAGTTAATCAAAATGGTTTTGTAGTAAAAAAGACAACATCAGACTAAGTCGAGTGAGAATAAAAATTCGCAAACTAAAAGTAGACAAAATATTGCACATAGGAATCGTAAATACAGTGTCCCGAATCGCATGAAAACTTAGATGTTGTCTCGTATCAATGTTCCTTATCAATATACAAGCATTATACATCACCCTACATCTATCGCAGAGTTGTATCACACAAAATACACACTCGGTCTTCGGAAAAACTTGTCAAATTCTAAATAACAGAAAAAACACGAAACAAAATATTGTAATGTGATACACAATAGTCAAATCAAAAACTTGAATTGGGATGTATTATTTGAAATGTATAATCAAACATTGGTTGTAAAATAATGATACACTTTGTGATATTGATGATTGAGAGACCATTTTGTAAAAAAAAAATTCCAATTTTCCCACTAATGGTCCCTAAATCATTCGCTTTTGTCGTTTTTATAAATGCCTAAATAGTTTAAGTAATTTATTTATTGTTGTTTACTTCTTATTATAAAATGTAATAAATTGGAGTTCGTTAGTGTTTGTTTTTCGTTGTTTTGATATTGTACATAGTTTATAAGTACAAACGCTGCTGTATTGTTTAGAAATACATATTATTATATTGTGCATGGGTTTAATCATTCTTCATTTCAGTTCTGAAAACGCTTTTGTATATTTTGTATGAAGAGTGCATGTCTGTATAATATATTCGGGTTATCAATTTGCATGATGAATTACGCTACGCTTTATTTAAAAGTAATATAAACATATTTATTTCCGTAAGTGCAATAATATAAATGGAAAATCTTTTTTTATAAATTATAAGATTTTTTAATTATAACCGCTATTTATGCATTTTTCAACACAGTTTGCTTGTGTGTAATGACTGCTAAACATTTTCTAATCCCTAATTAAACATTTTCTAATCCCTAATTTTATTGATTATTGCACTTTCGCATAATGTAAATTATTGTAATAGGTGAAAACTATGCTTTGTGCTTATTTTTAACAAAATATCTGTTTTGTGATTTTGAGAAATTGTAGAAACTCTTGTAAATTTTTTGATCAGTCAATAGCGTACATTCATAAAGAATCTAATTTTAATAATGTGTCAATAGTTAACTTTTGAATCGTTTCAAAATTTTGTTTATTAATTTGTTAATTTATTAAGTTTTCTAAGGTGGAAATCAAAAATTGACTTTTCTTTTGAATATGAATCAATTAATTTCATTGGCATTGTCTATATCCAGTTTCAATCAATTAATCTCCCTATCTCGTATTAGCTGTAATCCGAGCGCATCACTAGAACTACTATGGTTGCAGGAACCCGTCATCGGGCTCGCTGTCGGCGTCTGCGTCGGCGTCGGAGGGCGGGTCGCTGGAGCGAGCGCGCGCGGCCCGCGAGCGCCGCCTGCGGCCCGCGCACCAGGCGCCGCTCGCGGGCCCCGCGCCGCCGCCGCCGCCGCAGCCGCTGCCGCCCGACGACGCGCAGGTAATACTCACATTTGTTATGTCTTGGTTTAAATATCTAGCCAAACATTGTGGCATCTTTTGTGTTAATTTAAGTTCCAATGAGGGTTTTCGCTTCGTTTGAAAAATCTGCCAGATGGCAATACCACAGATAATATAATACTAGTACAGATGCATCATCCCATACTCGAAATGTGGCCGACGTAAATCTTGAAAAAGCTCTGGCTCGTTTGTTGCCTACTGGTGATAACAGATCGCGCTAGTGTGCCGCAGCGGACTTGACCGTCCCGCGGTTCGCGACCCGCTAATGCTTTCTAGCAACTTGAGCGGAGTATTTATTTAGCGTGCTAGCACAGAATAATAATAAGTACTACGTACAGAAGTTTTACTTCGCGAAGGTATTTAAAAAAATGTATGCTCAATGTCATTAACAATATGGTGTAATTTAGCCTGTCTCAAGAGTCAAGCACCATTTTGTTGACAAACGTCAGTGATCGGCACTGCGCCGAAGCTATAGGGCTGACTTCGGTAAAATGATGTGACGTGAGGTGCCAAACTGCGGAAAATGGCGGAGGAAATACATGATTTAGTATGAATTATCATGAATAATATTAACTACTTATTTACCTCTCAGTGTCTTGAGGCAACTTCAAAAAGTACATTCTGTGTTTTTATTATTATTTAGGCAGTTAAATACTGCACAGTATTTAGTACACCATTTTCTTTATTTTCTTCCATCATACACAAGAATACGCGTGCGTGAGTCAATGTTCGCTCGTATGTGAGGCCTTGTCGAATAGTATCCTGTAGGTGGGCCATCGTGCGTGTTTTGTTTTCGATGTAAACTCGCGGAGATGAACAGGCCTGGTAACACTCACATTTCATATTTTAGGCGGGTTTTAGAATCGCGCTGACCGCTCGCTGATCGTCGGCGCTGACAGATCAATATGTATGTAATTGAAGGGAACGTTCCTGAGTAACGCTGATCGCTCGGCGCCGACGCCTCATGTCAGCACTGACGGTCAGCGTGACTCTAAAACCAGCCTTAAACTGTTATGTTGCATTTTTTACTATCTGGAGGGTAAATAAAATATCTTATTTACCGTCATAAAAGTTTTGTTGTAAAATCCCGTGAAGTGATAGTTTTATAATACTCACATTTGTTATGTCTTGGTTCAAACAGCCGATATTTAAAGTCTACATTATTCCCAAGGGCTTAATGTGAGTTTACATCACAGACGTCCTCACTAGAGAGCGCGTAAAAAAATACATTATATGTATGACGAATTGTACAGCGCCCCTAGCGGAAACTTCATATATTTTTGTATGCGCTCACTAGTGAGGACATTTGATGTAAACTCGCACTAAGACCTCTGATCCTGTTAGAACTACAAAAGATACCACAATGTTTGGCTAGATATGCCGTTGGCTGTACCGAAAAGATGCATCTCATTTTGTCATAATTTTTGTCTTACTTACTTATTTATTTTTTGTGACCCCGAGACCTGCAGAGCTAGTCCGAAACGCTGTTTACGTAGTTTCGGGTCTATCTATCAGCGTCGCTCATGCTAACATCTCACTTCGTGTGAGAGGGATGGCAACATTCGAAAAACATATTGAAATTTGACACTTGACGGACGAATTTGGATTAGGATTGAATAAAGAAAACCAGCATAAATCTATGTATCCAAACAACATCGAGAATTTTTGTAACTAAACTTTGATTTAAATTCCTGCTGCAGATGTGAGCAGACTAATGATAGCATTGCATTGTTTCGCAGCACACGGCGTCGTGTCGCGTGGAGAACACGCGCGTGAACCCCGACTCGCTCATCGACGAGCTGCTCGCCGCCACCGACCTCAAGCACGCCGTCGACGACGCCGCTGAGAGTACGTACTCGATCATTGTTAATCGCTTACAAAAAGAATATTTTGATATCAGGATGACGTCACTACAGAGTAAGATAAAGATGAACTATAACGAACTGTCCCACCCGTGACATAAACAGGGGGGCGCCACCATCGTTCAACTTATTAAAGTTTCCAACGTGGTAAAAATCGGAACCAGCGACCCTGTATTGACGGTGGCGCCCCCTGTCAATGTCCTGTCTGTCACTCGGCAATGGTGCCAACTGTTAAGTATAAAAATGATTATCCTCATTACAACGTGCGTTTGGCCGAAAATAGTATTGTAAGCGGTTCAAGTGACGTAAATAATGTGTTATCATCGGTGCGAACTGAACAAAATAAACTGCAACTTTAGTTTTGGAGTGCAAAGCAAATTCATGGGGTATTTTTTGTAGTGACAAAAAACTTAGTGCGTTATGCCATGCTAATGAGGGCTATCGTTTTTATACTTAACAGTTGGCACCCCTGGCGATTGACAGGACCTTACTCTACAGTGGCGCCATCTTGATGAATGCAAATGCGATAGTCCTCCTACCACTTTAGCGCTCACAAGTTGGTGCCACTGTCTTCGCTACTAGCAAGTGACAGGACCTTACTCTACAGTGGCGCCAACTGGTGAGCGCTAAAACGATAGCCCTCATTAACATAACGTGTTTGTGTGTTGCAGCGTCGGGGCTGCAGCTGTTCATCTCGCGCGACGGCACGGCGGAGCTGGGCTCGCGCCAGCGCCAGCAGCTCGCGCGCCGCGACTACCAGCGCGTCGTGCTGCACCCGCACGACAACAGGTATTACTTACTAAAGCCCGGTCCGTGAGCACGTAGAATTTTGTCCAATGACCCCAAGCTTCCCATCCCTATCGCTCGCGCGTAATTATAATGCTGTCGCGACTGTCGGGCGCCCACAGTGAGTGTGCGAGCACGACAGCAACATAATTATGCGCGAGCGATAAGGATGGGTAGCTTGGGGTCATTGGACAAAATTCTACGTGCTCACAGACCAGACTATACACGACGGACTGTTGCAGGCGTGAGCTCGGCCGTCTAAAGGCAGTCGGGATCGACTGCATCTTGTTGTAACCACCTGTTGCAGACCCCGAGGGTTTGGGTTCGTTCCCAGGGAATAACATTTTCTATTCAATGAGGGCTATCGATTTAGCGCACACCAATTAGGACCACTGTAAAGGTCACGTCACTTGCTAGAAGACACTGGCGCCAACTGGTGAGCGCTGAAGCGATAAGAGAACTATCACATTAGGCCACTGTTGACTACGGTCACCGTTACTTGCTAATGACGAAGACAGTGGCGCCAGCTAGTGAGTGCTGAAGCGGTAGGAAAGGTGGATTGTCACATTAGCCCTCACCAGGATGGCGCCACTGTAGAGTAAGATCACTGTTAGTTCCAAAATACTGAACTGTCTTATGCATGACATTGACAGTGGAGCGCCACCGTCAATACCGGATCGCTGGTTCCGATTTTTGCCATGTTGGAAACCATATGGTAGCGCCCCCCTGTCATGGAGTTTGGTGGGACAGTTCAGCGTGGGTCATCTATACTTGCTAATGACGAAAACGGTGGCGCCAACTAATGAACGTTGAAGCGGTAGGAAAGGAGAACTGTTATATTAGCCCTCACCAGGATGGCGCCACTGTAGATTAAGGTCACCATTACTTGCTAATCACGAAGACAGTGGCGCCAACTGGTGAGCGCTGAAACGATAAGAGGACTCTGTCATTGCGCACACCGAAATGGCGCCACTGTCTACTCTAGTATGGCGTCATGTCAATCGCCAGTGGTGCCAATGTTAAAATATAAAACGATAGCCCTCATTGAGTCGGGAGGTTACCCTTTAAGCACTATTCCGTGTGACCGTACTGGTGCCTTGCTCGCGGTCACTTCAGCATCCTAAGCTACATAACTTGTTGAACATGTTCTTCCATGTGTTACACCCAAGTGATTGACTCGTGTGTTGCCCGCAGGTAGCCAACGGCGTGAGAGTAGGCAGCGGCCCCCCGCGGCGCAGCTCGCTCGGCGACGAAACAATGCATATTTATTGTTTTTATTATATAAATTATGCCATACATTGTTTTACAATTTGTAACTTAATAATGTTGATTATTATTATTATTCACTAGCGATTCTTTAGGAACGGTTGTGCTCGTGCAATCGGTTTTGTATGATTTACAATGTTTTTATTTATAATGTAAGTAGGAAACTTTTCAATTGTAATAACGACCTACACGACGACTGAATGTTCCTATATTTTGCGTAGCGTCAGTGCTTCCTCCTGTCTCTCGCCGCGGCCGCAGCGGGCGAGCGTGTTGCTGTATTATATTATTTATTGTAGGTTAAGTTGATATCTTTCTAAACGAACGATATGTATGAATGCAACACGCGCGCCCCGCGAAGCGACCGCGGCCTTACGATGCTTATGAAACGTCTTACCTCTCGCTCTCACCCGGTACTTCCAGTATATCGATATAATTAGCGCGACACTTGGCATCAGAGTACCTCTACTATCGTTTATTTCCCGCCGCTCTAGTGCGACGCCTAGATTCTTTCCGTTACATTAGAAATAATTCGCAATGAAGTGCTCACAAACTGGTGCTAAGCCGGCGCCCGCGAGGGCCCGGGCGTTGTATATGTCCACGTCTTCGGCTCCACGCGACAGTCTAACGTTAGATAACAGATACTTCCCGAGTCCCTCCATAATTATGTTTTCCGCGAGATTTACGTAACAGTTCCGCGTGGTGCCAAAAGAGGGCGCGTTGTCGCTCGGAGTGTAGGTGTTCAAAGTGGGGGTAAATCTAAGTCATTCCTTTGCGTTTGGTAGCTTGAGCGCGTGGCTTGCCGTTGACCGACCTGTATACCGATAGGCGCATGAGAGGGGCGCGCGGCCGCCACTCGGCGACATAGCGGTGCTGCCATCTTTGGGCCTACGGATTTTAACTGAAATGTAAGTGATCGATAGAGATCATCAAAGAAACTGACCAGTCGAATCGGCATATGTTATATTGGTATATCCGTGAGCACAACGATTGCGCCACCGACCTGTGTCGGTTGGTGGTGCCCCGCTGGCTCGCCGGCGCCCCTGTGGACGCTGTGATATCGTAGCTAGTTGTAGGAACTTATGATACTCGGCGAGCGAACTCGGCACGCGTTGTTATTGTATCATATGTCTATGTATACAGCCTGTACAGTATTTGAATAAAGGACGTGTTTAGAACTAAAATGCAGTGCTTTTATTTCGTGGATTGAGCTCGATGCAGATGTTTCCTATCGCAGAAAAAATATTCAATATCTGCGCTGTAAATAATCTCTGGATCGAGCTCGATCCTTACAAACCCTTTGTGTGCACAGTTGATCAATAAATAGACAATAATTGTACAGAATGTCCTTTAATGAGTAAACGCCAATAGGCAGGTGCAATAACACACATCATCGAGCTACGTACGTGGACGGTAACATTGCTTGCAGTAGCCTCTTCCGCAGATGGGTCAATTCCGACACAAATGTCACACAGACTCTACGAACTATTGATTGTACAATTATATGCAAGAGGACGCAGTGCCAGGATTACTACGTTTACTATGTGCTATTAGTGCAAGATTTCTCTTGACGACACTTTGTTACGTCGCCTTTTATTAAAATCTTACATGGTAATCTTGCACGAATAGTCTTTTATTGTGGCTTACAGGTACTTTGATAATAATATTTATACATCTGCAGAATAGTAAAAGGCAAAGTATTTACAATTACTAATAATTAAGTACATACCATGAACCTCGTTGAACAAGGCCAGTTAAATCTATTCCATTATTTTTTCTAGTAACTGTAAAACTGAAAGGTACAATGAGTAAAATATATACAAAAAAGAAAATAACCGACAAGAGGCTACAATAAATAAATGCATATAAAGGTTACACAAGAAATATAATAATTAAGTATAGTCCTCGACAATAGACTTTTTTTAAAATTATAATATGAAAAAATCCTATTTAAATAGAATTATTGTGATCTTAAGATTTATACAGAAATAAGTTAATACACATAACTAAGTACAAAGTTATGCTTTACTCGTTTGCAAAGTTGCCAACGTCTATTGGCGCGTATAGTCCGTCCGTTCAGCTCAAACATAATATCACAATATAAAAAATCTGTCACTTAAAAACAATTCATTGGAGATCTCTAAATAAAACTTCACAAGTCGGAATGCATAAGTACTCTCGATTGAGCAAATTTAAAGGTACAAATTCATAGATAATACTCTCGGTTACGCGGGTAAATATGTCCTCTATATACCTCCTCGCCTTACCCTACGAGTCTACATAATTTACTGTACAGATAAGTGTACTTACGAACTAGAGAGTGCCGCGAGGCCTAAAGTGATTACAAAAGTGTATAGAACTCTCAATATACAGACTTGTGGTTAAGGCACTAGCGGCGCCGCCGGGCAGCCGCCGCCCGCGCGCCGCGCACGCGTGGCCGCTTCTACAACCCGCAAACCTTTCGAGGAGGCCGACGAAACACTACCAATACTACAATATTACACCTATGATAATTATGCAAGTAATATTAAAACAGTGGTCCCATAGAAGGTTTCAGTGATTAGCTATTAGAATTGTAGAATCGGCCCTTAATACAGTGATGCTCTCAACACTTGAGCTTGCTGGTTTCAAACTGAAAACCCCCAAGTTAGTGTCGCAATAAATAAATGTCGGCTTAGATTTTAAGAACAGTAGAAGCGCAAGTATGAGAGCAGCAGAGCAGATGTGCGCGGGGCGGGCGGGGCGCGGGCGTGTGCGGCGCCGCCTTCACTACAATGTAATTTAGAATGTTGCACGCTTTTTCGTTTCCTTACAGCTAACTTACTGGCTAAGTTCGCCGGGGCCCGCGGCGGCCTGCGCTTATGATGTATGCTATCACAGAGTATTGTTGTCGGCGCGAGCTGCCTCCGCAGCAGTCAGCGTTGCCAGTTTTTTTTTTTCGCCAAGGCGGGACTTTGGTACTTTTTGAGTGAAAATAGCGGGATTCTTCCGTCAGAAGCGGATAGTAAAAAAACGTATATAATCAAAGGTTTTCAAATATTTATCTTTTTATTAGACTTAAAATTACGTTATGTGACAATAGATAACAAAAGTAGCCATAGAAAATGTATTTTAACAAAAAAATAATATTTTAAATCAGATTTACTCTATCGTTAAATTCGTCTTCAAAAATAGAAATTAAAAAAGTTTTATTCTTTAGAATAATATGGCGTTTCAAACAATAATCTGGTGAAGTGTCTCTCTCCGAAAAGCGGGATCGAGCCTGTCCCGCGCGGGACATTTAAATTTGATTTAAAAATCGGGACGTCTGGCAACGCTGGCAGCAGTAGTGGAGCGAGGTCCGCGCGGGCCCGGCGCGGCGTGTACAGAACACCGACGCCTTACTATCTACGCTCATCCCCGTATTCACCGCGACTGATATTACCATCTCATAAACCCGTCCCTATCTTACGTTACACTAATATTTCATAGTCGCAGCTTTGCATACGATCACAATACATTACAATTATAAGTAAAAATTTAAAATTTTGCATTTCAGGCACATCGTTCAATCGGTACATGATCGAGTGGATATATTATGTACTACGGGTCGCACGGAGTGCGCAAAGATTCGATACTAATAAAATTATTTTTGTCAGTATATAAATTTGTCTATTCTTATGTACTAAACGGAGCGGGCCCACCGATTTCGATTCGCAGCCGTTCACTGCGAATTTATTTGCGACGGGCCCGCTCCGACCTTAACCTACGAGTTGAGTCACCACACGCACACAGTCACACACGTATAAAATATTACACTCGCACGTTTCACAAGTACACCAGCATTTGGTTGAGTGGACGTCCGCCGACGTCGCTTTGTTCGTCGCCGCCGAGCCGACACACGCTCGGGGAAGGAGCCACCTTAAGGTCGCGCTGACCAACTTGTAGGTTTGGAACATAACAAATGCTATTTAAACCATAAAGTTAATATTCCTTCGGAATAGAGCAAGATGTCACTATCTGCAACCCTGTGTGATAAAAAGAGATGTGTGATGCTGTCATCGTCACGTCAATAGAACCATTTTTGCAAAAGATTTGACAGACAGTGACACTAAGAGGCACAAAGAAAATTTCAATTCATAGTTTTTTATAAAAATATCGTAAAATCCTGTTTATTTTTTTTTAAGTTTGTATGGATGTCTTGATGTTTGTAACTATCACTCTTTCAAATATAATAAGTTTAATAATTTTAATCTTCTGAGTTTTTTTTTTATTTTCTTAGTTCTATTAATATTATTACTGTTAGGTGTTAATTAATATTTCATCGATATCGATATTCATGTGAAAAGTAACGACATACATACATCACTGACATGCACACATATTTATTTTTACACACACATATGACATCTCATTTTTGGTTTCGTTTGACAGCTCGTGATTGTTGCTCTATTCCGAAGGAATATTAACTTTATGAGAGTCAAGCACCATTTTGTTGACAAACGTCAGTGATCGGCACTGCGCCGAAGCTATAGGGCTGACTTCGGTAAAATGATGTGACGTGAGGTGCCAAACTGCGGAAAATGGCGGAGGAAATACATGATTTAGCATGAATTATCATGAATAATATTAACTACTTATTTACCTCTCAGTGTCTTGAGGCAACTTAAAAAAGTACATTCTGTGTTTTTATTATTATTTAGGCAGTTAAATACTGCACAGTATTTAGTACACCATTTTCTTTATTTTGTTCCATCATACACAAGAATACGCGTGCGTGAGTCAATGTTCGCTCGTATGTGAGGCCTTGTCGAATAGTATCCTGTAGGTGGGCCATCGTGCGTGTTTTGTTTTCGATGTAAACTCGCGGAGATGAACAGGCCTGGTAAGATCAGTAAGCCTTACATGTCGTGCGTCGGCTTGATTCGACCGCGTGTCCCCGGCGCGCTAGATGAGGCGCTCCTCGGGCGGCGGCTTGAGCGCGTGGTGCATCATCTCGGCGCGCGGGTTGCAGTACTCCTGCCCCGACGGCGAGTACGTGCCGCGCGTCGCGCGCTTGCGCCGCGCCTGGATATAACAATCAAAATGTTACTTCTAAAACAATATTTATAAATAGTAGGGTTCATTATAGTTGCCGTAACGTAACATTAAATCTGTCATGATTTCTGTTGACTATAGTCTGGTCTGCGAGCACGTAGAATTTTGTACAATGACCCCAAGCTACCCATCCTTATCGCTTGCGCGTAATTATGTTGCTGTCGCGACTGCGCGACGGGCGTCCGCAGTGAGTGTGCGAGCGCGACAGCAACATAATTACGCGCAAGCGATAAGGATGGGTAGCTTGGAGTCATTGGACGGGATTCTACGTGCTCACGGACCAGGCTTTAGTCGACTGTCCTTTGTGCCATAACTTTTAAATCTGATCGCAAATCGAACGCTACAGCTAGATAAATTTTCAGCCTTACCAACGCGTGCATATCGCGTCGTTGATGACGATCATAGGCCAATGACAGAACGTGCGACACTTGTCATTGGCCTATGCATGCGCAGTGATCGTCATCGCCGACGCGATCTGCACACATTGGTTTGATTGCAGCTTAAGGCTGGTTATAGAGTCAAACTGACGCACGCTGACCGTCAGCGCTGACAGCCGAAGTGTATGAAGCGTCGGCGCCGAGCGATCAGCGTCACTCAGGAACGTTCCCTTCAATTACATACATATTGATCAGTCAGCGCCGACGATCAGCGAGCGGTCAGCGCGATTCTAAAGCCCGCCTAAGACCTAGTAATGGAGCGTAGTTACCTGTGCGGCGAGCGCCGCCAGCCCCGCGCCCACCAGCGCCAGCGCCAGCAGCGCCGCGCCCACGCCCACCAGCACCGGCGCCGACGCGCCGCTCTCCGAGCCCGCTGCTACCGCCTGTAACACATAATATTTTGTCAAGCCGGGAATCAAAACATTACGCGAAAATCAGTGGTGTTCTCCTCCATCTTCAAAATAGTAATATTATCAAAATACTCATAAAACTAATTTATTTATGCATATAGGCTTTAGAAAAGCACTTTTACTTACGTAAAAATACATTAGATTGTTGATTCCATTGGCCAAATACGTCACCACAAAAATAGTACCTACGTTGGTCCTCCTTACAGGTCATCTTTCGTACCATGCTAAACCAACATTCCTAATGACACTGTAAAATGTATACTTTGCTTTGTTTTGTAAACGTATCGTAGCCATAATATGTAATACATTGTTAATTTATTAGTAATTATTTTGTCGATCCAATAAAGCCAGCGAATAATACGTTTGGATCTTTACAGGTCTGTAAATTCATAACAGACAGAAAAAACTTTCAATTATGAATTTCGCCATTATCTCCCATCCACAAACTTTCAATAATAATTATGAATTATCTCTATCCACAACAGCACATCCCTCCAAAGCAACAAACAACACATCAACAATGATTATTCCCGACCTGCTGCGTGCAGTTGTGTCCGCCCCAGCCGTCGACGCAGTGGCAGACGTATGCGGCGGCGGCGGTGCAGCGCTGCTCGCAGCGGCCGCCGTGACGGCACGGGCCGAGCGACGTGTTGCCGCCGGCTTCTTCGTCCGTCACCGTCACCGTCGCCGGCTCGAAGCACGGGTCGCGTAAAGCGCACTCGTTGCCGCAGAAGCCCGGCGCGCATATGCATCTGTGGACATGAAAATAATATTATAGTCTGGGTGGTAGACCGTTAAACTAAAGTACGGCCAACGAGAAGAGATACCAAATGTAAACAAACCCAATGTCATGGTCATTTAGAATAGTAGGGGTGGGTTGCACCACCTATATCTTTAACGGTAACTATGACGATAACCGGTGCTTTTTGTATGGAATTTGACAGATTTTTGATGTTTGTCAAAGTTAAAGTAAGATAGTGCAACCCAGCCTAAGGGTTTGACTTTGACATATTTTGGGGGAGAACGAAACATTACGACAAATTACACAATTTGGGATGGAAAGAGACAGAATAGATTATCAGTTCGACAGTCGAATCGACCCCTTTTGTATCGCTGCTAGTTGGCCGTACTTTACACTCAATTCTAGCCTAAATTCTGCCTAAGCTAGCTCTCAAAAATCATTTTGAATGACTGCAAAATAAGATTTTTAATTTTCGCGTTCCATTTCGACTAAAATAGAAAGACACGGGTCTTAACGTGACATTTAAAATATTAATGAGTTACATTATGTACTCACGGCTTGACGTTTCGGTTGCTATTCTGCCGCCGTGGTCTCAAGCAGACTAGCGTTAAGAACCGTGTCTTTCTATTTTAGTGCAAAATATGGTTTTAGTAACTTCGAAAGCACAATAAGGTCCATTGAGTTGATGAGGAAGTGATGGGGTAGTTTATCTTTTCCATACAAAATCTATGAAAGATTCGCGATTTTGAATGTCACATTTTAACATCTCCCAAAAAGTATGTCCATTTAATTCAAATTTAAATAATTTATTGCAGGTCACATGGGTAAGGGTTTTTAGAACATACTATTGTACATTATGTATGATGCCCAGTGAAGGAGTTTACCGGTTATGTGAACTACTCTCCTCTCGCATGTACCACGGCCACTAGTTACAATTCAATGATACATACGTGTAGCTGCCCTCGAGGTTGAGGCACTCGCCCGGGCCGCAGCTCACGAGTCCCGCGCCGCACTCGTCCACGTCCAGCTCGCAGCTCGCGCCCGTCCAGCCTGCAACCACAACAATACCCGATTACACAGTCATCAATATAATAAAAGCTTGTAAAATACATCTGAATTTAATTGATAAAGTATTACAAAATATAAGGAATCCCCACATCACCAGTGCCTAAGCAGCGTGACACACGAAACTTTAAAAAAAATATTAAATACAGCTACAGCGACGCCAGCGCAGCGTAGACCAAAGCTAAAGACGCTGCGTCTGTGACGCTTACTTCGAAAGACGACCTTAAATTCGACGGTCAGCAGCCGCCGCGTAAACGCTGCGCAGGCGCTGGCGATACAATAAAGTTACGACGACGGTCCCTATTATACGTCTCTAGAAATCAAGGTTATATTCGGACAAAATCGGTTTTCTAATTGTGTGAACATGACAGAGTGATTCATAATGAAAATCTTGCCCTAATTGGGGATTTCACATCCACATATTAAAAGTTTTCAAGTTAGTCATACCACCACAAAGGATGGTAACTCAAATTTTGTTAACATGAAGTGATAGTGTTACAATTTCAATTTATACGCTATTATCGGCTGGTTTATCTAAACAAATTATCGAATCAATGTCACTTGTGATGACTACTGCCTACCTGTATTTTCATGATAAAAGAAATTTAACAAAACTATTTCATATTGAGTATCATATAACACGTTAATTAAAAAAAAACTACTTAATACCCAAAACTATAATAGCAATAAATATCGTCGTCGCTCCTGCCATCTTGTGATCATCGTCCCTGCACTTCCACTATCACACCAAATCCACGGGCACAGCCACCAAGAAAACAACAACTAATTAACATTCAATTTGCATTGCAATCATAGTCACGTAGGCAGTGTTTAATTAGGATGCTAACAATGACACTATCCCAATGTTCTAAATCGATCACATTCCTTCGAACTATCTATCCACTCCACTTGTCCCACCGACACAGTTTCAGTGTTGACACAGTCACTTTCCGACACGATCCAGGTGATAACACTAGACACCTGACACACAGACGCTCCGCCTGCGACACTGTGACACACGGAGCCGAAGCCTCACGCCCAGTAACCTCGCGGCCAGCGGTTGGCAAACCGCGGGTTTGGAGATATCGGCTGACGTCAGCGATTATTCACTCATTCATATTCCCCGGTGACACATTACGCTACTGTTTACTAGTCGGAATAAATCATATTTTATATGTGTCTGTTTACTTAATGGTTAATGTTATAACAATCAGGAAAGCACAAACAATATTAACTTTGAGAATAACACTTAAAATTGAGAAATATTATTTCTTAGACATTGTTCAACACAAGTGAATCATAGTATTGTCGGATGACACTGACAAAAGTAATTATCATAAAAAAGATAATAAAGTAGCGTGTCCTCAATTTTATCTTAGCGGAAAATGCTACAGTAAAGTAATACCATTGGTTTTAGTTCCCAGTTTGGGAGCCGGTGGCGCTGCTATCTGCAGTATCGGCCAGTATCACGGCCGATGGCGATAAGATTGCGACGCGTCGTTGATAACATACGCGCGCATATTGTTTCGTGACACGCATTCTGTGTTTGGGCTGATGAAACCATTTTTGTGATGCTTTTTTGATAAGAGTCAAAATATCGACTTTTGAAGTGTTCCGATTTAACTGCTCAATGAAATAAATACCCAACAACAGATGTAGAACCTAGGTGTGATATTTAGATTTCGAAATAAATTATGTTTAGTTATTTGCTGGGTCTCCAGTGCGTGTTTTGCTCTACATAATCAACAAAAACATCTCAACATTCAACAAAATTGCCTACAAAAATGTTGACATGTTTTTGTTGATTGTGTAGGGCAAAAACGCGCTGGAGACCCGGCTTTATACTGTCAATAAACACGTCTATAGTCCGGTCGCCGAGCACGTAGAATTTCGTCCAATGAACCCAAGCTACCTATCCTTATCGCTCGCGTGTAATTATATTGCTGTCGCGACTGTGCGACGGGCGTTAGCAGTGACTGTGCAACTCGGCGACCAGACTTTATATGGGATACTTCGGTCGTTTTACAGCGGGTCCGTATACGCACCGGTGCCGGCGCAGTCGCAGCGGTGGGCGGCGCGGCGCGCGGGCAGGCAGCGGCCGCCGTGCAGGCACGCGCCGGCCTCCAGGCACACGTCGCGCTCCGTCTCGCAGCGCCGCCCGCTGTAGCCCTCCTGGCACACGCACGACACCGTCTGCCACGAAACAGACGTCAATGTCAAACATGTCAATAGCACATAAACCAAAGCACAGCTAAAGCCTGGTCCGTGAGCACGTAGAATCCCGTCCAATGACCCCAAGCTACCCATCCCTATCGCTCGCGCGTAATTATGTTGCTGTCGCGCTCGCACACTCACTGCGGGCGCCCGTCGCACAGTCGCGATTCTACGTGCTCACGGACCAGGCTTTAGGCCGTGAGTGTTCCCGAGGACAATTTGTGCCACTCGTGTCTCGTGTCACCGCCCAAAGTCGAATTAATTACAACCCGGTCGAGTTAACTGCGTACCTTGCGACCGTAACGTTATAGCCTGACCAGGAACATAAAAACCCTCGCCATGTTGCGGAAAACTAATGGTACTAATTTCTTTTAATGGCAACAGTAACTGAAAACTTCATTGACATGTCACCTTGCATGTCAGTCTATTGCTGTCAAAGTGTAAACAAACTTTATTTTAAATGTGCGCAATTGATTTTGTGAATTAAATTGCTAAAATCTTTTTATAGTCGTGAAAGAAAAGTGGTTCACAATGTGTTAAAGTATTTGTCGAAGAGAAATATAAGGGTTCGGACAATATTTTCATTGAATAATGTTTCCGACAAAGGTTGTCAAATTGACTGACATGTTTATCGCGTAGTACAGTCCACTATGAAAATTAGCTGTGGTTTGTTTCAACTACCTATTTTAAAATTTTTTGTCACTTTCCAATTGTTGAATTTTATGAAATTGGGAAAGAAGTACCGAGTTTGAAGCGTTCATGAGCAAACATTGCAGTTGAATATTCAAGTTCTGAATTTGATTATTGATGAATAATAAAATAAATCCTACTAACTCGATTGATGGTTTCATTTAATTTATTTAAACCAATAATTTATGAAAATATATAATTAGCCCGTAATCCTGAATCCTGATACATAAAGTTAGCCTATTAATTTAACACAGGTACGACTGTACTCAGTGTTGCACTATCAAATGCAATTGACGCGCCTCTATGCCAGGGTTTTTATGTTCCTGGTCAGGCTATACATTGACGATCTGGTACGGACGGGGCGAACGCGGGGAAATGTACGGGTAAATGACAGGGAGAATCGCATTCCAGCGAAGTATACAGTTAGCTCGATCAGGTTGTATGCCATACGAAAACATAGATTCAAGTTTGCTTCATGGCTTAAATGAAGATTGGTACACGTGCACCCTTATGCAAATGTAGTCTTCCTTCAACCTTCAATTGATGTCTAAATAAACGCGAGGAAATATTTAATTGTAATTGCATTAAAGTTACGATTTTCCTCATAATCGTTTTATAGATTCGCTGCGGTTAAAGAGAGGTCATCAACATTACTATTTATCGTTATATAATATATAATTATTGAATTATATTTTAAAGACTGTATTTGCCCGGAAAAAGGTCTATCAAAGTACGCAATGTTGAGTGTTTAATGCCCGTTTTCACCATCAATCCTTAATTTTTAAATGACCTTTACGGTAACACATAATAGGAATTTGGTTTTCATAGGGGTCACTTAAAAATTAGGGATTGATGGTGAAAACGGGCGTCTTCTAAACTATTAAATTGCACGCTCAGAAAGGTCCGTAGTATACTCTCACAATATGCATCTACATAATGTACTTTATGGCTTGTCATTAAAGTACAGAGGTAGAATTGTGTAAAGCAATCATTATCATTTGACAGTTCATAGCGTACGATTATTCTGTCAAACGCTTTGTATAACTGACTTCTTCGTACGTTATGAACTGTCAAATGATTAAGATTGCTTTACACAATTCCACTTCAGAACAGCGCCTCACATTGTTATCGACGACGCAGTCCCCGTGCAGGCAGGGCGTCAGCTCGCAGAAGGCGGCCTCACAGTGCACGCCTTCCCAGCCTTCCGCGCACACGCACGTGTAGTTGTTGCCCGTCGCCGGCTCTGCGCACAAGAATAAACGTTAGTCACACGGTGGGTGAAAAGTGCGTACGAATTATAACACAGGATAAGGAATTATGCCTTTACACCAAGCCCGCTGACAGCTCGCGGCGGCTTAGTGTAGGTGACTTTATTTCAAAAACTGTCGACGCATTGTACTTGACAAAGTGTCAACGACTCATGTCGGCGGGTCGGCGGGTATTTCTTTGTAGACTGCATCTCAATGCATGGCCTAAATTAGCCTACCTTTCTACCTTTGGTGTCAGTGTGACGTGCTAATTTAGGGACATCCTGTATGAGAAATACGTCCACCTGCAAAGAAAAATTAATCTTCCGGCGCCATATTTTCCTTTGCTACATTGTCACGCCACGTGTCGCGCCGCTACATGGCTCGGTATGTACAGTCGACAGCACATCAAGCTATACATTTTCGTTGCAAAGTCGCCCCTATCGCAACTACGTAAGATACAACAGTGTTTACGTTGACGTGCTGTTGACCGTACATATGCGGTATCGGTATGTACGTATGCGCGGCCCGCTCCACTCGGCGCCGCACGCGCACGTGTAGCCGCCCGCTCGCTGCACGCCGCTGCACGCTCGTGTGTACCTGGCGGGTGGTCGCGGCAGGCGAGCGCGTGCGGCGCGCAGGGCCGGTGCGCGCAGGAGCGGTGGCGCGGCGTGGCGCAGCGCGGCCCGCTCCACTCGGCGCCGCACGCGCACGTGTAGCCGCCCGCTCGCTGCACGCCGCTGCACGCTCGTGTGTACCTGGCGGGTGGTCGCGGCAGGCGAGCGCGTGCGGCGCGCAGGGCCGGTGCGCGCAGGAGCGGTGGCGCGGCGTGGCGCAGCGCGGCCCGCTCCACTCGGCGCCGCACGCGCACGTGTAGCCGCCCGCTCGCTGCACGCCGCTGCACGCTCGTGTGTACCTGGCGGGTGGTCGCGGCAGGCGAGCGCGTGCGGCGCGCAGGGCCGGTGCGCGCAGGAGCGGTGGCGCGGCGTGGCGCAGCGCGGCCCGCTCCACTCGGCGCCGCACGCGCACGTGTAGCCGCCCGCGCGCTCGCTGCACGCGCCGCCGTTCAGGCACGGCTGGCTCTCGCACTCGTCGATGTCGCGCTCGCACCTGCGCACAAACCTCACTTACTCATCTACAAGAACCCGGGCGATAACGATCCCCGAACGTAGCTAACCCAAGCTGACGGCATCGACAAGCGAAACGATCAAAAGTACAAGTAAATTATATCGAAAACAAAAGAGTAAGTTTATTAATTTAAATAGACAAAAGTAACTTACATTTCTCCGTCGAAGCCTTCGGGACACAGGCAAGTGTAAGAAGCCACTCCGTCCTGGCACGTGGCTCCATTTTGACACTGGTTCTCCGCACATTCATCTATGTCGATCTGTAGAATACAGGACAAAATATTACTGTCATATGTAGCTGATGAGTGACAGTGACAAAAATTAGAGGTAAGGTAACCAGTTTCTCTGTGGTTGAGGATTCCGGGTGAAGCTCGCTTCCACCTTCGGCCTAATCACCACTTTCCATTCGTGAGATGCAGGCCAAGAGCTTATCGTTGGTCAACATGGACACGAAAGTAACAATAAAATGAGTGGAACAGCACGCAACGCAGGCTGCTCGGCTTCCTGCGCTGTATAAGGAAGGAGACATGTAAAGTGCCCCATAAGGGCTACCTTTTTTTATTACTATATTTTGACGTTCATAAGTGCCACCAGTGGTCTAAATTGAATAAAATATTTTTGATTTTGTGGCAGCTGCAACTGCTGTTTTCTGTAGTTACCTGGCAGTAGTCGCCGCTGTAGCCGGGCGGGCAGGCGCAGGCGTAGGAGTTGCGCAGGTCGGCGCAGTGGCCGCCGCGCTGGCAGTCCTGCTCCAGGCACAGCGCGCACGCCACGCCCTCCGCCGCGCCCCACGGCCGACCGGACCTGAGGAAGGAACATGACACGTTATAAAGTAGGCCACACATGCAGACACTACGCGTCACGAGACTCGTCGGTTGATTGTCAGACGCATAGCATCTAAAGCCTGGTCCGGGAGCACGTAGAATTTTGTCCAATGACCCCAAGCTACCCATCCTTATCGCTCGCGCGTAATTATGTTGCTATCGCGCTCGCACACTCACTGCGGGCGCCCGTCGCACAGTCGCGAATAATTACGCGCGAGCGATAAGGATGGGTAGCTTGGGGTCATTGGACAAAATTCTACGTGCTCACGGACCAGACTATAGAACACTCACATCAGCGCATAGTGCGGCTGCGAGGCCAGCAGCTGCGCGGCGGCGCCCACGAACAGCTCCTCCTCCGTGAAGAACGGCAGCAGCAGCGCGCCCACGTGCACCGCGCCCATGCAGCCCTGCGCACAATTACTAAATGTAGTGACGTCATGGAGTGGCGCCATGCCAGATTTGGGAGATTATTAATCTGCACTATATTCTAAATACTAACTACTACTACTACTAATACAAATACTAAATATTTATCAGCTTATTTTTACAATGAAAATAAATAGAAATACCTTGAAGTAAAGTCCAACAGAGTTATCAGCGGCGAAGTCTTCTCCCTCCGAGTTTTCCCACATAGTGGGGTCCGTTGTGTTATCCATCTAGAAAAAAAAATATAATTACTTGTATGCATGATAAATGTTGAAAGATTTTTTTAAATTAACTTTAGAAAGAAAGAAAGAAAGAAACATGTATTGCCTTGGACATGACAAAAGACAAAAGAGGTAAATAAAAAAAGCAAACAAGACAGCAGAGGTAACAAAATATGCAATGGAAGAGAAAATAAACTGAGCAGTGCCACTTTGTCGCACAGCGATGCCCATCGCAATGGGACCCCACTCAGCATATGTCGTGGCCCCCGGTGAGGAAAATCACGACGCTGGTTTTCAGTGTGCTCCATTTTATTGAGTGATAAGTTCGCTTCCATTATTGAAATACTAGCTGACCCGGCGAACTTTGTTTCGCCTTAATGGCAATAAATAAGCAGACTTTTTTTTTAATTTCGAACGGGATAAAAAGTATCCTATGTCCTTCTCTTGGCTCTAAACTACCTTCCTGACAATTTTCAGCTAAATCGGTTCAGCCGTTCTTGAGTTATAAGTGGAGTAACTAACACGACTGTCTTTTATATATACAGGGTGTTAGGTAAATGGGTATATGAGCCGACACTAGCCCATGTTAACATAGGCATATAAATGGTATGGTGAAGTCAGAAATTTGATATCATGATTTTAATTTTTTTAATTGTCATACAAAATAAATTTTACAAAATCCGATTTGTATGAAAAATAAAATAGTTAAAATGAAGATATCAATTTTCTGACTTCATTATACCATTTATATGACCATGTTAACATGGACTAGTGTCGGCTCATATACCCATTTACCTAACACCCTGTATATATAGATAGAATATCAGTAGGTATTTTCTACCTATAAATGGGTGTTAATGGAGTAAAAGTTGAATACCTGCGGCGGCAGTGTAGTAGGCGGCGCAGACGTAGGCGGCGCGGGCCCCACGCCGCCGAGGTGCAGATCGCCGTCAGTCAGCAGGCGCTGCCAGGCGGCGGCGTCGACGGGCGCCTTCATGCCGAGCTCCTCGTGGCCGTCGGCGTCCACGAAGTAGCCGGCCAGCTCGCGGCGCGCCAGCCGCAGCCGCAGCGACGTCCAGCCCGCCGCCGCGCCGGCCCGCAGGCGCGCCACCCGCGGCACGCCCGCGCCGAGACGCCACTGAACGCCTACAACTGCGCCGAACACCGACACCGTGAACCACATCGGCTCGCCGCCGGCTGGGTCCCGAAGTTCCGCGTGGAATAATGTGCCGCCCACTTTGGTCCTGCGACACAAATTGTGGTTATTCAATTAAAGTCAAATTCAAATTGTTTTTATTGTGAAATCACAGGTAAATACATAAGTCAGGTCATAAAATGTTTGTGTAAAAACATTTATTTCACATAAAACAGAACCTTTTTTGTTAATTTATTTTATTTTATTTTATTTATTAGGACAACCAACAAGACAAGTTGTAGCTTCCAAAAGAACTACAAAGTGGAAATACCACACAGGGAGGACTGGCTGAACAAGCAAGTCACCTGTGAGAAGGGCAGCCTTATATGGTTTACTGATGGGTCAAAAATGGGCCCTAACGTAGGCTTTGGCGTGTATGGAGAGCAGCCGAAGCTTAGGCTATCTCAAAGCCTGGGCAAATTTGCCTCTATCTTTCAGGCAGAAGTCTACGCCATTATTGAATGTGCGGAAGCTAACCTGCGAAAAAATTATGCCAACCACATAATTTACATTAACTCAGACAGTCAGGCCGCGCTGCTGGCCTTAAACTCCAACTTAATCACCTCAAAGTTGGTAGAAAACTGCATGAGTCGACTAAATACTCTAGGAGAACGAAACAGAGTAACGCTGAGATGGGTTCCAGGTCATGCGGGAATCGAGGGCAATGAAAATGCCGACGAACTAGCCAGAGCGGGAGCGGAGGGAACACAATATGGTCCAGAACCCTTTTGTGGTGTTCCCAAAAGTCTCGCTCGAATGACCCTGGAGAACATCTATTTAAACAAATCCTTTATGGCATGGTCAGACACGCCAGGATTAACTCATTCCAAAGCTCTCATAAAAGCCTATGATCGAAAAAGCTCTAAGCAGATCATAGGACTGAGTAGGACCAAAATGCGCATCTTAGTTCGAGCCCTCACTGGACACTGCAGCTTAAACAAGCACTTGTCCACTATGGGACTGTCCGAAACAAGAACGTGCAGGATGTGCCAAGAGGCAGATGAAACGCCACTACACATGCTCACGGACTGCGGACCTCTGATGCGCAAGCGGAGCTTACACCTGGGCAAACACATCCTAAGCCCACAAGATGTAAAACATATCGCCCCTCAAAAGATACTGCACTTCCTAATGGATGCAGGACTCGGAGGCGAACTGTAAGGAAAACAGCGGCGATCACAATAGATCGATAACGGTCGCAGTGATACTAGGACTTTATTGAACTAGAATAGCCGCTCAACACAAATTAAAAAATTAATTAAACAAGACAAACACGCATACATGGAATTATTATAACTAAAATTGCTACATTATTAAAATAATAATAAATAAAATTACACTGTTTTATTTTGGTTTTTTAATTTTAAATATAGTAATGTACCTCGGAGACATCTCATACGGACAACACCCGAAGGAGCCGCTCTACTTCGATTATCATTAAAATAAAACTTAATAACATAATAAAGCATGCGAATCCTCTGTCAACATTCTTAGGATGCTGTTACCACTCACCCGTAACTTGTCTATCACTAACACCAATTTTTCCTTAACATAAAAACCGTCGATTAGTAATTTTCATATTAACTTCTTCCAAGCTATCAGAAACTTATCATATGTATCTTTGATAGGGTTGTTAGATTAGAGAACACCGGCATACCTGTAGGTGATGGTGAGCGAGGTGGGCGGGTCGGGGCGCGGCGGCGGCTCGGCCAGCCCGATGGGCGTGGGCACGCGCATCTTGTACGACAGCGTCGTGTTCACGCCGTCGAACGTCGCGTCCGACACGCACTCGTACCTGCCAAATAAAACACGTCACTAACAAAAAGCCATAATAAAACTCATTTAAAGTCCAAAGAAGAACGGTCACGCCCCATACAAAAAAAAACCCAAACCCGACAGAAACGAGACATACCTCAGTTTTTTTGTCATGTCTTAATTAGTTAAATTACATATTTTTTATAATCGAAATCTATGTATAACACCAAAATATTACCCTTTGTTTTTGTTCAGGCGTTATACAAAAACTAATACAAAATGCCTATTTATCACCAAAATTGGTAAATGTATGTACCTAAATGTCTATTACAGCTGCTATGGAATGTATCTCGGTGACCTGGAGATGCAGCCGGATTATACAGGGTGGTTATACATATGGAACGATAAGTGATCTCACTCGATTATTTCTAAACTATACAAGATATCGAACAACTAGTTACTGATTCTGAAAGTGCTTCACGAGCTCTTTCAAATGGTACCAATAATAGGTTACAGATTATGGAAGCTGGTAACATTGATTTTTTGGATTTTGTAACTTCTCGTTTCCACCCACCCACCCACCACAATTTAACTAATTAAGACATGACAAAAAACTGAGGTATGTCTCGTTTCTGTCGGGCCTGGGTCACAGATGACCGTTCTTCTTTAGTGATTAAAAAGAGGCTGACAAAGGTGACAGAGTTTCATCCGCCACTTCTTCTTAGCACCTAGCCCATATGTTGTCTCGAAGAGGAGGTAAGGCAATAAGTAACGTGTCTCACCCGTTGTCGAGGTTGCGGCAGTGCGAGCTGAGCGGGCAGCCCTGCAGCTGGCAGAACTCCACGTCGGAGCACTGCTTGCCCTTGTAGCCGCGCGGGCACGCGCACGAGTAGTCGTTCCATGTGTTGCTGCACGACGCGTTGTGCTGCGCAAATAATACAAAGATGAGTCCACAAATTAAAAAGTTAATTAAAGAGGAAATTCAGAACTAAGTTGTGAACTATTATTCGAAGAATGGAGCTAGGTAGCGAGCACGCGACGAATTTTTTGAGCTGCCAGTAGTGGGTTTTGATTCAGCCGCTCAGTCGCGCTAGTTATTTTTCTCTGCGTTGCGTTCCCACACTCCAATCATTTGCATAATTTTAGGTACTTACTCCAGCCTAGCTTTAAATCTAAAAGATTAGGAGCAGAGCACTCACTTGACAGGGGCGTGAAGCGCAAGCATCGTCGGAATGCACGCCAGCCAGCACGCCGGCAGGATCCAGCCACACGTCGCCGAAGGGCGGCGGCAGCGACAGCCCTGGCACTTGCAGCGGGAAGAACTCCACGATCGTCACGTTCACGCCGTTCGACACCTGAGATACCATACGTTTCAAAGTATATTTCAATATTCTACACTCACAATAATATGATAATAGGTGACAGCACGAAGTTAATCGACATAATGAGCTTGTTCCATAGATTTTCCAAGTCAAAGATAATTATATTATGTTGACGTAACATTTGCCACCTTAAATGACCAAAACCCTAAGTTACACTGGTCTAACATTGTTTTTAAATGTCATTTCCATACTACATTTTACTTTAAAATATTATTCAACGAACGTATTAATAAGGGGTAAGTATTTAGAGATGTCAATGCGATAAAGTTGTATAATTTTACAGTAATTGTAAAGTTTAGCTTTAACGTTTAGCGTTTGTTCTGTTCAAGTCGTTAAAACCTCTTTGTCATGTTTATTATTTTTCTTCGTCTGTCATGTGCATTAGAGTTGTCATGTCACAATAAAAATAAGAACTATCGAAGAAACATGAGTTTTAAGATTTCAGAGAAATAAATCTGTAATATCACATAGATGTCCTTTTAGCGAATTTGCTTTTTGGTATGACTTGGTTAATAATAATTTTGTATTTTACTAAATAAGACGTATTCATTTTATCATTATATCCTTTTGCTCATAAACTGCATCATTTGGTTGATACAATATTTTATTTTATCACAATAATTTGTTTATAAATATTGCACATTCGAGTAAACCTAGCGAATGTGTACTGTCTGTTTTGATCGTGCTATGTGGCTATCATGGACGACGTGCTGTCACTACTCTGCCGCAACACAGTTTTATTACTAGCGCGCAGGGTAGTTGTCAATCTCGCCTACCAATGTACTACATAAATTTTTAACATGTACCTTATTTAACATCACGATTGTGTTTTGGACAAATAAAGTTATTATTTATTCTACAATACTGTAACTGTATCTATTAATAAATAAATAAATGTGGTCAAATCGTCACCTGCACGTCCTGTATGACGCCCTTGAAGTAGGCGGCGTCGTCGGCGGGCTCGGGCTCGGCGGCGGGCTCGGGCGCCGGCGCCGGCGAGGAGGCGGCGGGCGCCGGCAGCCCGGGCGCCGCGCCGTGCGCCGCCGCGTCCGCCGGCGGCGGCCCGCCCAGGTACAGCACCTGCGAGTGAAACAACGTTTAATGAGGGCTATCGTTTTTATACTTAACAGTTGGCACCCCTGGCAATTGACAGGACCTTACTCTACAGTGGCGCCATCTTGATGAGTGCAAATACGATAGTCCTCCTACCACTTTAGCGCTCACAAGTTGGCGCCACTGTCATCGCTACTAGCAAGTGACAGGACCTTACTCTACAGTGGCGCTAACTGGTGAGGGCTAAAACGATAGCCCTCATTAGGATAGTTTACGCGAAGCGCGGCGTTTCAAGGGGCATCATTGGAAATGATTCGCGCGCGGCGTTTTTTAATACTTTTCAAATGTTTATAGCAAAACAATAACAATGAAATATATATCGTTTCAAAGTAAATATTTTAAAGAAGATGTTATTTTATTATATTAAGCTATTTTTATGTTGAATTAAAGAACAATAATGGTGTAAAAATCACTTTGATTTTTGGGTTTTTCACGTTCTTTGAATTTGTGATTTCTCATTGTAAAATGCTTAAATCTAAGAATTTTCTCAACTAACTATTTGCCTAAGGACCTATGCTATAGGATATAAATGTTTGTTATATCGTTTTCACAGTATTTTTATAAAAATTTCAGCTTGTAAACTGACGCTAAAGTGGAAATTTGAAAACCTGTGTGGACTTATCTTGATAGAATTCTCAAATACTATACTAATCGAAATATTTTCTCAACTGACTATTTAGACGACGAAATTGCCTAATTATTTATGCCTGCCTATAACATATTTGTAATGTAATTGGTTAATGATTGTAACGGGTTGAAAAAGTACTGTTTTTGCGCCAAACGGCGTAAACGCTCTTAACCTATGCCTTCTTATTTTGAACTTTACTCGCTTATCATAAAGTTGAAAAGCAATGTTCCTTTTAGGCCGACATCGATGACCAACGCCAGCGGTGCGTACGAGTATACACTAGTTCGTCAACGGCAGACGATTACATAGAACTAAAGTCTGTTCGCCGAGAGTTGATAAATATTATGAAATGTCTTGCAATAGCGACTGTCGCTTAATTATCGCATTCTGTATGGCGGGCGTCGTTTGTCACAACGCGCACTGAGTACCATGGTACGAGCCACGCAGCTGTCGTCAAGCGCCCTGGCCGGCGGGCCGCAATGTGTGAAACTGAATAGATTTATTTTACATAATACCGAAATGAATGGTATGACAGTGGGTAGGGCTTTGCCCAACATTGGGATACACTATAAGCCACTTGATAATAATGAAATACTTTTTATCCAACACATGCACGCCACGTGTTTGATCCGTATCCCCACGTATACCCTAAACGGAATAATTCCCGTAACTTTAAAAGAGATAATAATGATAATCAACCAACTTTTTCATTATATCGACAAAAATAATTAGCGGGCCGCAATTTATAATGAGTTTAGAACCTCTGATATTTAATTTTTTTTATCAACTCTCGGCGAACAGACTTTAGTGTATATTCGTACGCACGTGCCGCCGACGTAGGTCACCGACGTCAGCATAAAAGGAAATAGAGCCTAACGTGCTTTATGGAGGGCTAATGTATGCATTGTGTGGCCTCCGTGGATAGTCGTAGATGTATTTACCTGTGCATCGAGTTGTTTAGCAGCCGATATAGATTTGCGGAAGTATTCGGTACCGTTAAGCTTCACTTGCACCAAAGTGGCATTTCTCACGACCTGAGAAAATACAGAAAATGGATTAATTTGGACCGAACGATTAGTAAACAACATGAACAAAGTCTTTAAATGGTGGTATGGTCTCGAGCTCACTAAAAAAAAAACTTTTTCCGTCTTGCAAACGCACGACAAACGTCCGGCTCAAACGTCTAATTTGAAAGAACCTCGGATAAATAACGTTTCCGCCTCGAGTGAGTGGCGTACGATATACTCGAGTGTCGCGTCTTCTTCTTCTTTTTTGTTCTTGGCAATACTCGTCGAGGCCGACTTGATTTGTGCCATTTTCATGTGAGTGTGGGACGAGTTAAGAAGAGGGACCAAGTGTCAAGTGGGAGTGTCGCGCGTCGCTCTGCTTTGAAAACGCTTGTAACCCGCCAGTGCGGCAGGGCTGTGAACGTTACCTCGATGAGGTGCAGGTACCCGTTGTCGAGGCGCGTGCCGCCCACGGTGTAGTTCTCGGAGGTCTGGTTGAAGCGCAGGTGCACCAGCAGCTCGCCGCCGAACAGCGACGCGCTCACTTGTGTCTCCTCCTGGCCCTCCCTGAAACCACGCGAAAAACTATTCATTAATGCTTTATTACCAAAAACGATCCGGTTTAATAATAATGGTTATGTGATGGCCAAAAATATTTAACAAGATTCCTGAGAGAATAAAGTTACTCCCTTTTAATAGATTTCGAATGGAGTTAAGGAAGTGGCTAATAGAGGAATGTTTTTACTCCATAGGAGATTTTCTTAAAAATAGGACATTGTAATAAAATAAATTATAATTTTAGTTAATTAATGTAGGACAAAATTTAAAATTTGCATGCTGTAATTAAGTATGGCTAAATAGGCATAAGTATAATAACTTAAAAATGTAATAACACCCACTTTGTGAAACCCTATTTAATGCAAATAAATTATATTTGATTTAATTTGATTTGATTCAAACAAATGCTGGTCCCACTGCTGGACAAAGACATTTCTCACGGATTTTCACAACGATCGCTCCTGTGTTGCCCGCATCCAGATACTTCCCGCAACCTTCATCGGATCATTTATTACAAAGTGGAACGCCTGCCTAAACTATGTCTTCCAGCCTACGGTCGCCACTCGAAAACTACGTCAATTATTTTGGTTGCCCTACGAACCTCCTCATTTCTGATTCGATCACATAGGGAAACTCCAAGTATATCTCGTTCCATTACCCTTGAGCTTTTTTAAAAAAAAAAAAAAGATTATTGGCAATTTGTATTGCCCAAATTATTAATAGCCCCGTTTAGCCCCTCGTGTTAAGCTAAATAAGCTTGTGTTACGAGTCGGCTCACCACAATAGTCGAGCGGCGTCGGCCACTCTGACTCCTCCGTTCGGCTTTCGTGGCTATAAAGTCATAAGGTTCTTAGTAAACGACCACGTCTCTGTTCCGATGTCATCACTGGCAAAATACACAATGGTCAAAGAAATTTAAATACAACTATGCCCACAACTTTGTACACTTCGAAAAACGTTTCCAAAATAAGTCCAGTAGGTCTAAGATGCGCGCCGTGATAACTTTTATCGCCGTCAAAATGTATGGACAAAATCAATAAAATGGCGTGATAACCGCTTATTGCAGCGCGCATCTTAGGCCTACAGAGCAGAGAGTGGCGAGCACCGACCTTGGCAGCGAGCTGAGGTAGAAGATCTGTCCGGTGGACTTGCGCGTGCGGATGAACATGGAGATGTCGAGCGCCGCGTGCACCGCGCGCCGCGCCGCCGCGCCCACCGCCACCACCACCACCGAGCGCGGCTTGGCCGACTCCTGCCCGAACGTCGCCGCCGTGTAGTCTGAGGAGGAACATTGCACTGTTAGGCCCTTTTCACATGTTCCGGTTGCCGGCTAACCGGCGCCGGGTACCCGGTGGTGAAGTGTATGGGCAAGCCAGATTAATTATTCATATTCATTTATTTGCTCACTAAGTGTAGGTACATAAGGTCTTATAACTAAATACAGTGCTTAAAATTTAGTAACCTAGTTTAGGTATTGCAAATTTTTTGGAGGGCTGCATGCATGCTATATAATTATTTATTTTGTAGGTAAGTATAATATTATATTTTAAGTATTTATTTACAGTCCAGAGCGCCATTAAAAGTTATTCAGCTTACGTTAGTGTATTAGTTGTATCACAAAATTAGTCCTGTAGTATTATTTTATTACGCCGGTACATGTGAAAGCTAGCTACGTACCAAGCCCATACACTTCACCACCGGGTACCCGGCAACCGGGACGTGTGAAAAGGGCCTTAGAGTAGGCGCACACCGTTGATTTTTCGTCGGCCGATAGTTTAGTCGGGCAGTTGATCAGTATGGGCAATTGGGCATATATGGGAAGTGCGCACACTACGCAGATTCGATTCGGCCGATTCTTCATACAATTTAAAATCGGGCACAACTATCGGCCAACTAAAAATCAACGGTGTGCGCCTACTCTTAAGCACATCTATTTTTCAGTCGTACAGAGAAAAGTCCCAGGCGACTGGCTGTTGATAGCTGTCACCTTCGATATTTTAAAAATATTCTGCTTTAGTCCCACGATTGTAAAACATCAAAATGCAAACATCAAAAACTAACAACCCAGTATTGATAGTAGCGCTCTCCTATAAATATCGACGTGACATAAATCGGAATAATAAAGTATTGATTGTGGAGCCCTCCTGACAATGTCATCGCTGGAACGGTTCCATGTTGGATATCTATGCGTTGCGTTGTCTGTCACAGCGTCATCGTACCGTGGCACCCCCTCCCTATCTCGTCTCCCTGGCTCTTTATTGGTTGCGCACGCGTTTTGTCGCGTCACCGACGCCCATGACGCATGTCGCTAAGGGCCCGTGTACACCACACTCACTGTACTGGCAGGTGCCGCCGAGGTGCGGGCGCGGGCAGCTGCACACGAAGGTGGTCCAGTGGTCCTCGCAGGCGCCGCCGGACTGGCAGGGGTTGGGGCTGCACTGCGGCGTGCGCGGGCAGTGCGCCTGCACGCCGTGCAAGATGCGCGCGACTCCGCTCTCGCCGTCATCTGGTAAGCCCGCCTCGCCCTCTATGCCGGATGAGCTGGATACTTCGGTTGTGGTCTCTGAGCTGGTGTTGTTCGTGTCTTCAGGTAGGACCTGTCGCAAAATAGTGGTTGAAGTTAGCTTACGAGGGAACATCAAGCAATAATGTTGCGCTAAAATGTACATAAATTCGGAAAATATCCGATATACAACGTGTCCCAAAATTCAAGGATAAGCCGGCGCCGCAGGATGGACATAGTCATGACTACTTTAGGAAAAATAAGGAAAAAATATATCTCAATTATTTTTTAAGTTATACAATAAATTACGAAATTCTTCGAAAATTGACACCCCTTATGATATTTTACATTACCACGACCACCATTTTTCAAATATTTCTGTTTTTTTGTTTGTATCGGCAACTTAAGTAGTGTTGCTGTTCACCCCAACTCTTAAAACCCCCAGAATCCTTGCAGTTTTTACACAAAAGTAAATCAAAATACGTTATTTCCTTAAAATTTTGAACGATTTTTACTTTCAATCCACTTTGACTCATCGTTTTGTAAAAAAAAGTATGAACACTACTGCGGCAAGTTTTTTATAAAGTTGACGCAACTATCCAAGATTCCAAAATGGTATAATACTCTAAGAAACCTAGTCGCAAAAAAGATATGCGTACCATTTTTACAAGCACTTCGCTTGTTAGTTAGTATGGGATAAATCTTGCAACTGAATTTAAAACCAGTTCTCCTCGACCGATTGAGCTGAAATTTGGTATACTTGTGTAAGTACGATGAAAATGCAATATTATGGTACCATTGAGCTGAATGGAGACTGGAGGTGGCCATAGGAACTTCTAAACGAAACGGCGGAATTGCATCTAGTTTGGGTTCGTTGGATTTGTCTTTTCGAGCACTTTAGTGCTAGATGATGTCCAGGGTCCTGATGATGAAGTCAATTATAATTTCCAAACGAAGTCAAGCTTGTTTTTAAAAAAAAATATTTTTATTACAACTTTATTTTAAACTTTTTAGTTATTTCTCAATCTCATGGCCACTTGGGCTCGGGAAGACAAATCCAACGAACCCAAACTCGATAAGCTTCCGCCGTTTCGTTTAGGAGTTCCTATGGCCAGCTCCTGCCACCTCTTGACTTCATCATCAGGACCCTGGACATCATCTAGCACTAAAGTGCTCGAAAAGACAAGTCCAACGAACCCAAACTAGATGCATTTCCGCCGTTTCGTTAAGAGTTCCTATGGCCACCTTCAGACTCCATCCAGCTCAATGGTACCATAATATTGCATTGTCATCGTACTTACACAAGTATACCAAATTTCAGCTCAATTGGTCAATGAGAACTGGTTTTAAATTCAGTTGCAAGATTTATCCCATACTAACTAACAAGCGAAGTGCTTATAAAAATGGTACGCATATCTTTTTTGCGACTAGGTTTCTTAGAGTATTATACCATTTTGGAATCTTGGATAGTTGCGTCAACTTTATAAAGAACTTGCCGCAGTAGTGTTCATACTTTTTTTTTACAAAACGATGAGTCAAAGTGGAGTGAAAGTAAAAATCGTTCAAAATTTTAAGAAAATAACATATTTTGATTAACTTTTGTGTAAAAACTGCAAGGATTCTGGGGGTTTTAAGAGTTGGGGTGAACAGCAGCACTACTTAAGTTGCCGATATAAACAGAAAAACAGGAATATTTGAAAAATTGTGGTCGTGGTAATGTAAAATATCATAAGGGGTGTAAATTTTCGTCAAATTCCATAATTTATTATGTAAGTTAAAAAATAATTAAGATAGATTTTTTTCCTTATTTTTCCTAAAGTAGTCATGACTATCTCCATCCTGTGGCGTCGGCTTATCCTTGAATTTTGGGACACGTTGTATATCTGATATAATTATAAATATCCAATATACAGGGTGTTAGGTAAATGGGTATATGAGCCGACACTAGCCCATGTTAACATGGTTATATAAATGGTATGGTGAAGTCAGAAAATTGATATCTTCATTTTAATTATTTTATTTTTCTTACAAATCGTANCTAATGGAAAAAAAAAAATTTTTTCTTACTGATGTTATAGATTAGAGCAAAGTGAAATAATTGCTTAAATAATTGGAAAAAGACGTAAGCGGCAGTTTCGCCCTTATACGTAGGAGCCATCGATTTTATAAAATTTATTTTGTATGAAAATTAAAAAAAATGATGATTTCAAATTTCTGACTTCACCATACCATTTATATGCCCATGTTAACATGGGCTAGGTGTCAGCTCATATACCCATTTACCTAACACCCTGTATATCGGATATTAATAAGGATATTTTCGAACCCTGCACATAATATTCGGTCCTTTCAACGGAATTCCGTCTAATGCCGGACAAGCCTCTCCAACGAAGTTCCAAAACAACTAGTCCTGTGCTGCCCAAATCCAACGAGGCTACTCTTAAAATACATAATCCGAAGTTCGAATGTTGCCGTTCCTCTCATGCAAAGCGAGGAGCCACAATGAGCGACGGTGACAGACAGACCCGAAATTACATAAGCAGCGTTTCCGAGTCCTCCTCAGCTCCTCAGGTACCAAATGGAAACTAGAATCTTTAGTTATTTTTTTATGCTAGACAAGGCAGGTATTTGACCGCAATCGCACCTGGTGTTAAGTGAGATGCAGTCTAGGATGGTACATATCTTTGTAATTTAATTGCAATTCCCCTAGCTGGGCCCACATGTTTACCTTACCTATTTTATAAGACCTTACTGTACATACATATGTAATTCAATAAATAAATGAGTATGAAATATGTCACTGACCCACTGCCCGTTGACGACGACGTCCTGGAAGCAGCCGACGAAGAAGTTGGGCCCGTGCGTGAGCGTGGCGTAGGACGAGCCGGCCGTGCCCAGCCGCGTGGTGGGGAACGACGTCACGCTGGAGTTGTACGCCTCGTTCTGGCTGATGGGGTAGATGGTCTGCTCCTCGTTGGCCGCCAGCACCAGGTGCGACGAGTTTATGGTCACGAACACCTGCACAAAAAGTGGCCCAATGAGGGCTATCGTTTTAGCGCTCACCAGTTAGCGCCACTGTAGAGTAAGGTCCTGTCACTTGCCTGTAACTTGTGAGCGCTAAAGTGGTAGGAGGACTATCGCATTTGCACTCATCAAGATGGCGCCACTGTAGAGTAAGGTCCTGTCAATCGCCAGGGGTGCCAACTGTTAAGTATAAAAACGATAGCCCTCATTGATAAAAGATATTTTAGTATTTCTCCAGATTAGAAATTTACATTTGAAGTAAAGTGATACATATTTTATTACTAGCTTTCCGCCCGCGGCTTCGCCCGCGTGGAATTTTGCCTGTCACAGAAAAACTTCACCGCGCGCGTCCCTGTTTCAAAAACCGGGATAAAAACTATCCTATGTCCTTTCCCGGGACTCAAACTATCTCTATGCCAAATTTCATCAAAATCGGTTCAGTGGTTTAGGTGTGAAAGCGAGACAGACAGACAGACAAACATACAGAGTTACTTTTGCATTTATAACATTAGTATAGATATTATCAGGAATCCTTTTTTTATGCATGACAAGGCAAGCATTTGACCGCAATCGCATCTGGTGTTAAGTGAGATGCAGTCTAGGATGGTCATATCTGCCCTGTAAGTGCCTATTCACTCTCGCCTTGAAAAGGCCCGGATTATAGTGTTTCTCCAGACATAATATTTCTTCAGACTTTAGAAAGTCATTTTCTCTTCAGGCCAGACCAGATCATTATCTGATAAGAGGCGGGCTCTTAAAACAGAACGTAGATAAGTATTGTTGTCGACATCACACTCCATTTCAGGAAACAGTCGTTGTGTCCGATAGCGGTTATCATAGTTGACGTTGCTTGTCTTCCGCTACTTCTTCTCAGCACCAGCCCCGAAGTGGTGGTAGGGCAAGCTATATTTGGGATGCGTATGAGCGCCCTGGAAAGGGCCTATGTACTGATTTCATTTCATTGTATCGTCTACCGTCGACTTTTCGTTTCTAGTTAGTGACACCGAAGCATACCTTCTGCCACTTAGAGTCGTTGAGTTTGGAGCCGATGAACACGCCCTCCCACTTATTGAGCAGGCTGGAGTGCAGGTTGAGGCGGCCGTGCAGCAGCTCGAGGATGAAGTACGTCAGCCCGCGGCCCATGGCCAACAGCCCCGAGCCCAGCGTCGTCTTGAAGCGGAACGAGATGTCGTAGCCCTCCTCGCGGCTCGTGTTCACTTCCACGTAGCTGCTCTTTTCGAGAGACATTGTTGTTATCTGGAAGCAGGGATAGGGATTAAAAACGATTGCAATTAGTCCAGTAGAATTAGCTTTTAAATCGGAAATAATTCCTACAAAAGATTTTATTGCTTTAATGGCTTAATTGGTTGCCCTTTAAGACTCTCCTAGGTTTTCGACTTCGACGGAGTTGTGCTTAAGTGGTGGGGGCCCCCGAAAGGGGCGCTTTTTCGGTTTTCCGATTATATCGCGTAAAGGACTTACCCTATCGAAAAGTGGTCTTCCTGACGGTTGAAGGGCATTTAATCCTGCATTAAATAAGACCAAATTCATATTTTTTGGACAAACCGTTCTCGTGCAAATGTTCGGCAAAGTAGAAAATATGTGTATAATTAATGACCCTCTCCACGTCCAATATGCCACGGTCATCTTCATAGAAACGCATGGCCGCGGTTTGTATGTGAGCGCGCCAGCACGTATGCGGCGCGCACGCACACACTGACAAAATTTAGCGGGGATTAGCGGGGAGCCAGTCGTGGTTACGCCGAATTTTGCAAACCGCGCTCGGTGCGTTTCTATGAAGATGACCTACTCATTTATTTATTTAATTACCTACTCTTTGTATTTACTCTGCATTAACAGAGAGGATTTCTGTAAAGACAAGCAAAAATGTAATTTTGTGTTATCACTCTTGCTCCAACTGAGTGTCAGACAAGCAACGCACCTGCTCGCAGGTGGTCCCGTGGTAGCCGGGCGTGCAGGAGCAGTTGAAGAGGTGCTTGGTCTCGTGCTGCAGCCAGGGCAGGCAGGCGCCGCCGTTGCGGCAGGGCTGGTCGCGGCAGCCCGCCAGCACCACGGAGCAGTTGCGCCCGCCCCAGCCCGCGCTGCACGAGCAGTAGTACGTCGCGCGCCCGTCGTAGCAGCGCCCGTGCGCGCACGGCTGGTACCTGCACAGGGACTAGAGATGACACGTATTTACTAGAACAGATCCACACACTAGGTATTTTACAGCACTAGGCGGCACCTATTCCAATTTTTTAAATACTTGATCCACCTAGTATTTTATAAATTACACGATTTCCGACCCTACCATCAAAGTAATAGAGGTTATTATTGCGTAATCCGTAGTCGTGTATTACGCGCACCTAGTATTTCTCGCTAAGCTTATGTGCGAACGTAGAGATTCGCTCCGTCTCTGTCTGACCGAACAAATTTGAGCGCGACGAAGCAAACGCACACAAACGTAGTCAAACCATATTCATGTAAATAAGAAAAAATATGTAAATATTTTTATGAAATTGATATCTTTAAAATACGCCAACTTTTAAGTTGACAGTCCAAAGCCTGTTGAAGTATGAAGGGAGTAATTATTATTCAATTTCAAATTGCATTATTCATTGTATCTTTAAAAAAAAAATTTATTTTAAAGTCATATTACGTGGATTAGTCCGCACTAGTCGCGTCAAGTATGCTAAATTACTACGTACTAGGTGGAATAGGTATTTGGATCGAGTATTAATAAATACTCGGAACAGGTGCACCTAGTATCAAATTTACCTAGTATAACCCATCTCTAACAGGGACTCATGTGACGCACTGCGGATACATACATACATAGATACAAATCCCACCACCACCCATGGCCATACCAACCTCGCGGTTGTTGTGGCCGAATCTTGAGAAATGCGCGCGGAATGAGGGCTATCGTTTTTATACTTAACAGTTGGCACCCCTGGTGATTGACAGGACCTTACTCTACAGTGGCGCCATCTTGATGAGTGCAAATGCGATAGTCCTCCTACCACTTTAGCGCTCACCAGTTGGTGCCACTGTCTTCGCTACTAGCAAGTGACAGGACCTTACTCTACAGTGGCGCTAACTGGTGAGCGCTAAAACGATAGCCCTCATTGCGGCTACCTAGAGCAGATTGCACTCCACCGCGCGCAACGCTCGACTCTCTACAAGTTCTTTATTCTTCGTCCATTTGTCCCTATTTGCCACTCGTCTCCCCCTTCTGGGGCATGGACTCTACTTCTGGGGCACCGTCCGGTGCCTGGCCGCTAGGCGTCTGGCTGTTCCGCCTGCTATACCACGCGTGCGCGAACTCACGCAGCCGCGCGAAGTTCGCCTCCGAGCCAACCAGATCCGGATACCATGCAGGCATAACCCTCCGAAAGCGCTATCCCGCTCAGCATCTCCACAGGTCTTCATACAAAGGACAGTACCACAAAACGTGGTGCCTGTCCTCCTCACTCTCGCCACACTCGCACATACTCCCCTCTCGCAGCTTCATGTCGCTCAGCCTTTTATTGAAGCACCCGTGTCCAGTGAGTATCTGCGAGGTTACATAGTCCGGTCGGACCCAGCGCACGCTGAGCCCACCGGCCACCTTCGGGAAGAACTGATGGAGCTCACAGACAGACAGACAGAGGGCTCGACGCGCACTCGTCGATGTTCACGGGACATAGACACAGTACGCACCGCTGGCACTCGTCGACCTCGGTCTCGCAGTGCGCGCCCTCGTAGCCGGGCGCGCAGTCGCAGGAGTAGGCGCCCACGCCGTCCACGCACTTGCCGTGCCCGCACGGGCTCGACGCGCACTCGTCGATGTTCACGGGACATAGACACAGTACGCACCGCTGGCACTCGTCGACCTCGGTCTCGCAGTGCGCGCCCTCGTAGCCGGGCGCGCAGTCGCAGGAGTAGGCGCCCACGCCGTCCACGCACTTGCCGTGCCCGCACGGGCTCGACGCGCACTCGTCGATGTTCACCTCGCAGCGCGCGCCCATCGTGCCCGCCACGCATACGCACTCGAACCTACGCAATCAAAACAACACTATACTTGTAATAAATTCAAATTCAATAATTTACTTGCTAGAGTACATAATAATCACAGAAGCAAATAGGACATATGACCAGAATCAAACGCTCGTAACTCACACCTAGGAATGTATAAAAAATAAGCTTCTACATAAGTTCCGACGCAGAAAACACCTAGCTGATCAACTTACCCATGAGCGTCTTCATAAGAGAACGGCTGGTAGAAAGACCGGGGCAGCAGCATATGCGGCTGCGGGCCCACCTCGACGGGCGGGGCGTCCGCGGGCCGGTACAGGCTGGCGTTGGAGCGCTCCAGGCAGATGCCGCCATACTTGAGCGACTGCCTGCCTGAACTTAGCTGATAGACTCACCCTTGAGCATCTTCATACGAGAACGGTTGGTAGAAGGACCGGGGCAGCAGCATATGCGGCTGCGGGCCCACCTCGACGGGCGGGGCGTCCGCGGGCCGGTACAGGCTGGCGTTGGAGCGCTCCAGGCAGATGCCGCCATACTTGAGCGACTGCCTGCCTGAACTTAGCTGATAGACTCACCCTTGAGCATCTTCATACGAGAACGGTTGGTAGAAGGACCGGGGCAGCAGCATATGCGGCTGCGGGCCCACCTCGACGGGCGGGGCGTCCGCGGGCCGGTACAGGCTGGCGTTGGAGCGCTCCAGGCAGATGCCGCCATACTTGAGCGACTGCCTGCCTGAACTTAGCTGATAGACTCACCCTTGAGCATCTTCATACGAGAACGGTTGGTAGAAGGACCGGGGCAGCAGCATATGCGGCTGCGGGCCCACCTCGACGGGCGGGGCGTCCGCGGGCCGGTACAGGCTGGCGTTGGAGCGCTCCAGGCAGATGCCGCCATACTTGAGCGACTGCCTGCCTGAACTTAGCTGATAGACTCACCCTTGAGCATCTTCATACGAGAACGGTTGGTAGAAGGACCGGGGCAGCAGCATATGCGGCTGCGGGCCCACCTCGACGGGCGGGGCGTCCGCGGGCCGGTACAGGCTGGCGTTGGAGCGCTCCAGGCAGATGCCGCCATACTTGAGCGACTGCCTGCCTGAACTTAGCTGATAGACTCACCCTTGAGCATCTTCATACGAGAACGGTTGGTAGAAGGACCGGGGCAGCAGCATATGCGGCTGCGGGCCCACCTCGACGGGCGGGGCGTCCGCGGGCCGGTACAGGCTGGCGTTGGAGCGCTCCAGGCAGATGCCGCCATACTTGAGCGACTGCCTGCCTGAACTTAGCTGATAGACTCACCCTTGAGCATCTTCATACGAGAACGGTTGGTAGAAGGACCGGGGCAGCAGCATATGCGGCTGCGGGCCCACCTCGACGGGCGGGGCGTCCGCGGGCCGGTACAGGCTGGCGTTGGAGCGCTCCAGGCAAATGCCGCCATATTTGCAAGGTTCACCTTCACACTCATTTATGTCTATCTCGCAGTCCTTGCCTGTGGGGAATAGTCGACAGTTAATCGAATTCAAATTCAAAACGTTTATTGCATGTCACATTTCAATTTATAGACGAATGTCAACAAGTGACTAAGGAAAGTATCAGTGGGCTGAGTGTGAGTTTACATCAAACGTGCTCACTAGTGAGCGCGCTAAAAAATGTTTCTATGAACATTTTAGTTCTTGAACGTTTTCGCCAGGGGCGCTGTACAATCAGTCATACATTTAATGTCATTTTTTTACGCACTCACTCACTAGCGCGTTTGATGTAAACACACTCAGCCCTCAGATTAATCGGCTTTGTTACAAGCGGAAAATTTTACAAACATATTTACTGAACATGAATGGAAAATCGATTCTACCTAATCGCAAATAACACGTGATCATGTGCAAAATTGATTTAATAACGAATGCAACTATTTCTAATAACACCATTAAAGGAGTCAATGTATAAATAAATTTAATACAATAGGAGAACAGCAAATAAATAGGCTGTAATTACTTTGTAAAGAACTTACGCGAACATGCCATTGAGGTATGTTTATTATTGATTTAAGTTATTATAATGGTGTACGTGTATAAATAAAATTAATTGCAAATAACGGATGCGTACGAGGAAAACTAGCGATTTTGTTATTAAGAATACAATGGATAAAAAGTGTCTTAGATACGTGCATGGGTCATTATTCTTATGCAGGTATTCTACTATTTACTTTTGGGCACTCGTCTTTTTGCTTAGTTACTGTTTTTGTTTAGAAGTGATATTTGTAATGACTGTTTTTGTGCCAAATAAATAGAAAAAAAAAAATGCGAAGACGTTGAGTTGTGACCTCGCACACTCACTGCAGCCGCCCGTCGTACAGTCGCGACAGGAATATAATTACGCGCGAGCGACAAGGATGTGTAGCTTGGGGTCATCGGACTAAATTGCCTAGGGTAGCCGGTGCCGCCGGGGGGTCACTGACCGGTGTAGCCGGGGCGGCACACGCAGCGGTAGGCGTTGAGCTCGTCGACGCACTCGGCGGCGTGGCGGCAGGGCTGCGGCGCGCACTCGTCCACGTTGGTGCCGCAGTCGGCGCCGCTGTAGCCGGTGCCGCCGCACTCGCACGTGTACCCGTTGAGGCCGTCCACGCAGCGCCCGCCGTGTAAGCACGGCTGAGACTGCAACACATCACGCTGATAAATACACGTCTAACAAATCGCTGACATTATGCTGAGTTGATGGAACAACACGCCCGCGGCCGGCGTCCCATAATAACTTTGATTCTGATCCGCGTGCGGGCGCGCGAGGTTTAGCGGAAGCCCTAAAGGTAGCCTTTCGAACTAAGCGTCACAGACGCAGCGTCTTTAGTTTCGGTCTAAAAGGTAAGCCTTTCGAAGCGAGTTAGTGACGCGGCGTTGGTGGCACAAGACCAAAGTTATAGACACTGCGTCTGTGACGCTTAGTTTGAAAGGCTACCTCTAGACAAACTGCTACAGTCCAAAGTAATGATGCGGCGGTGCTCCACGCACTCCTCGATTCGGCCAGTTATAATAGCAAGGTTGGAATGGCCATGGGAAGGTGGCGGGATGAGTCAAAGGGTGTACTTAGGTCACGTGATCAATGGGTTCACCCTGTATCCATACCTCGCAGTCGTCGATGTCGATCTCGCAGTTGGCGCCGGTGAGCCCGTCGCGGCACACGCAGCTGTAGCCCGCCACGCCGTCCACGCACGTGGAGCCCGCCGCGCACGGCTGCGCCTCGCACTCGTCGATGTTCACCGAGCAGTCCTTGCCTGCACATAACGTAAAACACTAAAGGCCCAGGCACACCGCGTTTTTATCCATTTTTCTCCTGCTCTCATCAAATGGCGATTCTTTGCGATAGAACGAGACAGCATCATGACTGGAAATGAGTAGCTGGAAGTGTGACCGACGGTACGGCGCCTGAAAACAACGTGGTGTTCATTGGCCCCAATAGACATGACCCCGCGCCGAATGCTTAGAACGAGCCACAACAAATACGCTACGGAAACAGATGTTCCAGCTACCCATCTCGGATTTTTCTCCCGCTCTTATCAAATGGCGATTCTTTGTGATAGAAAGAGACAACATGCATGACTGGAAATGAGCAGCTGGAAGTGTGGCCCATACGTAAGGTTTTGAAATACCAACTAAAATCAGAACATGGCATAATGACATTTGACCTGTGACTAATAACTTAAATTGGATAAATTCCAATTGTGTTAATTCATTTACGAACACCTCGAAAGGAATAATTATATTCTACTTCAGATCGTCATATTATTACCTATTATGTAAGATATAATGTATGATTGTTCATCCAGTACTTTTACGACAGCAAAATCATAGGCGGCTCATGAATGACTCATTTTTCTAAAGGTCGATGAGTATTAGAAGCCTTGCGTCGCACATTATGTGGGCATCAGGTCACGAGGAAAAAGTAATTCACAACATTTCTAAGGTGAATTAATTGGTCAACATTAACTCCACCATCATTATTCACAAGACCAAGTATGGAATTTGAAGTGCACGCGAGACTTGCGTACCTATGTAATGTGATAATTAAAATATCTATATGGCGCCAAACGTGTTAACCATCAAGATCCTGCTTTAAAAATAACAAGAGAAACGCGTGATCATTTTATAATTTATATTGTCACTCAAAATATTCGTTTTAAACAACGGTAGCTAACTTTTTCGTGACAAAGGGACTTTCGGCAAATTACATGAAGGCGGAATCCAGCTTAGACAGTAGCTCCGACCACACTCCTGTTCTTCTTACTATTAGTACGACTATCATTAGCCATGAGAAATCTGAAACCTTGTGCAACAACCTCACTGATTGGGAAGGCTTCAGAGAATACATTGACGAATGCATCGAGATAAAAGTATCCCTGAAAACACCAGACGAGATAGATGACGCAACCCAATATATTACTAATCTAATACAAAGGGCTTGCTGGATCAACACTCCCCTAAAAAAAGAACCAAATTGCAAAGTGGGTGGGAACTTACCTCTCGAGATCAAACGCCAAATACTAGAGAAGAGAAAACTACGTAGGATATGGCACCAAACTGGGCATAAAAGTGACAAGACTGCACTAAACAAAGCCATTAGAGAGTTGAAAAACTCAATAGATATTATAAATGATGCCACACTGAGGGACAAACTGGAAAATTTAACTGCCACAAAATCCACAGAGTACTCTCTCTGGAAGTTTACAAAGGAGTTGAATAGGCCACAGCAATATAAATGCCCCCTAAGGGCACAGGTTGGTTGGACTAGGACAAGTAAAGAAAAAGCCAACGTTTTTGCAAAACACCTATCCACCATNAAAAAAAAAAAAAAAAAAAAACAACGGTAGCAAAACTAGACCACACATTTCTTTTCACCTATTGTCTATTTAGTTTTGTGTTGCTTTATGTGCTAGAAACATTAAAACTAACTTTTTAGCGTCGATCGATGTCAGTAGGTCATTACACGTCATACTCAAATTAAATACCCATAGAAACAAATACTTCGACTTCGATGAGGAACACCAACAATTAACTTCCACGATGATTAAAAAGATATTATTCGTACTTAAATTCTCATGTTCCATCGCAGAAAGCGTGCGAAATCGATTGGCGAGTAATTACACGCGTGAGCGACAGTCGTCAATGACTGCTGGCCGGTTCAGGTGGCAGACGGCACTGACCTTCGAAGCCTTCCAAGCAGGTGCACTCGTAGTTGTTCTCCAGGTTCTGGCAGGTGCCGCCGTTCTTGCACGGCGACGACAGGCACTCGTCGATGTCTTGCTCGCAGCTGTCGCCCGTGTACCCTATTAACAAAACATAGTTCATGTAAACAGAACATGTACCGTTTATGTGTATTAAAAGTTTTTAACTTTATGATCACGTTACCTGGCCGGCAGTAGCACTGATACGACCCTGGCACATTAACGCACACGCCGTTGTTGCAGATCTTCGGTGACCGCGCGCACTCATCGATGTCCAACTCACACAATCTCCCTAAGAACAAATACATTATGCACTTCAGTCGTGAACAAAACTGAAAAACTACAATAATTACTTAATTATCTCACCTTCAATAAAAATTAACCAAATAATCAACAATCGACGCGGATTCGTCATGTTTAAAATATGTCTAGCTTATAATAATATAATACCATTTAATGTGTAGTTATTTGTTAAATAAGTTTTAAAATAAAATTTGTCACATTGTATTGCAGAGGAGTTTACTCAAGTGTACATCCAAACCCGTCCGTCGCGCGAGATACTCTGTCCCACTTCATCGGATAGGTATTCGAATACATTATTGTTTCAAGTGCTTTACGTTCGATTAGCAATTGCCTTTCATGACTAATGCAACAAGCAATAAATTAAAATTCAAATAAAAACATTGCATTGTATCATGTAATCGATTGCTAATCGATTCTAAAACCGGATACGATTGTTTATGTTCTAACTTAAAACCGGTTGAGGTACATCACTATTCACGTCAGCTGTCACTGTCATTTACTGCGATGCTTTCATTTTGGCGTTCCCTATTTTCTGTCACAACAATGCCCTAGATTGTTTGGCTAATGTAATTATTCGAGTAGTATTAATTTAATAACAATGTAGAAAAAGTAATAAAGGGCTACAATTATAGTGTGAGTCAACAGTATGATATATTCAGTGCGTAGCATTTTGAGGTTATGTCGAACACAATGTATTTTACAAAAGAAACGACTAAACCATATTCGTGTTACAAGTGAATTAAATAATAAGGAAAATGCCGAGAAAAGCAGCGAAGAGAAGGATTTCAAGACATTATTACAGAAAAATCAGGATAAAATAATCTTCAACTCGTATTTAGAACATGAAAGGTTAGAACTAGGTCACTTCAGATATCACTTAAAAACCTTGAAAACTGCTAAAATTGAGAGTGAAAAAGAACACATAAAGAAGAGTCTACCGCCTCTACCAGTAGCATTACAATACATTGTGGATAAAGAAAAGTTATTGGAAGCTGAAAGTGAACCAATAGAGCAACCAGGCGAGGAAGTTTTTCAATTACCTTTTGCTAAAACTACACCACTTGAATTGGTAAAAGATGACACTGAAAGCTCTGCAGCAAAATCTGAAAGCTGTACTTCAAAACCTGTCACTTCAGAAAACTCTGAATTTGACAAAAGCGATGTGGACAAGTGGATGATAAACTATGAGCATTATGATGATACTCAGTTTGAAACTTCAGATGATGAGTGGTCGCTACGGTATGGGACTCCCGACCCCAGAATAGGGATCACCCAGGTTCCGTGCGGGGGCTGCGGCGCACTTTTGCACTGCAGCGAGCCCTCTATACCAGGATATTTGCCAAGTGAAATCCTGCGACATAGGAAAGAGGAAGAACTGAAAAGCATGGAATGCCAGCGATGCCATTTCCTAAAGGAGTATAATATTGCCTTAGATGTAACTGTGCAACCAGAAGAATATGAAAAGCTATTACAGTCTATTAGGTAAGACATAATACTTTACTTTTACATTCACAACATTTGGCACTGGATAACCTATTTAAAATATTTGTATTCATTTCAGGTATGTGAAGTCACTAGTAGTACTTATGGTTGATTTACTAGACTTCCCATGCTCCATTTGGCCTGGGATAGTTGATATTATTGGCACAGAGAGACCTATTATAATCGTAGGAAATAAGGTGAGAACAAACAAATATAAACTGTTATTTTGTACAAAAGTCATATGCCTAAAACCTATATTTTATGAGCGCTTCTTTTTTAGGTGGACCTTTTGCCTGGGGACAGTATTGGCTATTTGAAAAGAGTAAGAGAATCTCTCCTCACAGAAATCAATAAAACCAAACTTGCAGAAGCAAATATCAAATATGTTTCTCTGATTTCTGCCAAAACTGGTTATGGAGTGGAAGATTTAATAACTGTCATGTTCAAGGAGTGGATGTACAAGGGGGATGTGTTCCTAGTCGGCTGCACAAATGTCGGTAAAAGCTCCCTATTCAACGCTCTGCTGCAGTCAGATTACTGCAAGGTGCACGCCGTGGACATCGTCAAAAGGGCCACAGTCAGCAGATGGCCCGGGACAACACTGCACTTGTTGAAATTTCCCATCAACAGACCTTCAGGTTGGAAGATATACACCAGAACAAAGAGATTGAAAACCGAACGTAAGCTGATAAAAATGGAGAAAGAAATTCGCAGCTCGCTGTCGAACGGCAGGCCGCCCGCCGAGCCGCCCGTGCTCATCGGCCACATCGGGCGCTCCTTCACGGGCCCGCCGGCGCGCGAGGGCGCGGACGTGGCCGAGCGGCACCGCCGCATGATGGGCCTCGACGAGAGAGACGAGATGTTCGTCAACAGCAAGTGGTTCTACGACACGCCCGGGGTCATTCACCCCGACCAGATGTTGTCGCTCCTCAGCACTGAGGAATTACTGCTCACCATTCCGAAACAGACTATCAAGCCCCAGACTTACTACCTGCATCAGGGTTATACAATATTGATTGGTGGTTTGGCTCGGTTGGATCATATAGAATGCCTGCATCCATGCCGGTTTACGATCTTTTGCGCGGAGAGCTTACCCATCACCGTGTCGAGGACCGAGGACGCGGACAAGCTGTACGACAGCTTCGTGGGCACAGAGTTGTTCGCGGTGCCAACCGGAGGAGCAAAGAGACTGAGCAACTGGCCGGGGTTAGAGAAGAAAAGGGAGGTTTTTGAGTTCGAAGGAGAGGGACCAAAGATGTGCTGCGGCGATATCGTGCTATCGTCCGTGGCTTGGGTGTCGGTGACGGCAAAGGGCGGGTCTATTTGTAGAGTCATCGCGTGGACGCCCGGCGCACGCGGCGTACACCGAAGATACCCTTCCCTGCTACCTTATGCCGTCAACTTGAAAGGGAAAAGAGTTCGCGACACTCCCGCGTATATGGTGGGAAAGCCATTCATTGGGGAATAAATTCTTAAGTAGCATTGTAATCGTCACCTACTATGTAGTTGAATAAATAAAAATCTTAAATTTACATCATGTTGCACTTATTTTAAATTTTACCAAAAAAGTATTTTAGATACAGAAATTAAGTTTAGCTTGGGTTAAAGTCTGCTCTTCCATCAGCGACGTTCGTAACTACGCTATTTCATCCCGGCACACTCCTAGATCATGCTGTGATAACACGTGGACTCACCGGTGTTCCCGGGCGGACACTGGCAGTGGTAGGTGTTGTCGCGCGCGAGGCAGGTGCCGTTGTGGCAGGGCGAGGACGCGCACGCGCTCTCAGCCGGCGCCAGCGCACAGCGCCACGCGCCGTTCTGCTCCACGCATTCCTGCACACAAGCAAAATATTCACGAAAACTTGTTCATTTTCACAACCCTTTACTTTAAAAACCTAGGGAATTCACAACGCTGTTTCGGAATTATTTTAGTAAATGTAGGAAAAAACAAATGCTTGTTAACTTAGGGACAAACATAATATGTAGACTGAAGAATTTATTATATTTTTATGAAATTTCGCGTTTGTAAGTTGTAACTAAAAGCTAGGAACTGAAACCAGAATACTTAAAGGCGATAAGGTTAAATAGCACTCAAATGCAAAATAAATCACACACAGGACACGCCCGGTTTGCAACTACCGCCTTATTACAAAATTAAATATTGCAATAAATCACACAATTTCTGCACTAAATATGCCGAAATATCTCAAAATAAGACTACAATCAGGCGGACAAAGACGAAATAAGACAAAATTACCTCATGAACGATGAAATTCAAGTTATTTGCCGAAGCCTAATTTGAGAACAATGCTGAGAAATCGACGTGCAGGTAGAACCCGAAGGATGTAATGAATAACTATTTATTTGATAATTTTAAAACAAAAGAATGATTTCTTCAATAAATTAAGATTTAAAAATAGCTTGAGAAAAACATTGGTGAAAAATAACGAGCATACCAAACTTTGACGCGGGAAAAAAATGGCCGGCCAGTTTTTTTTTTTACCTGAATTCAAGTCGGTCACAGATTATAAAAATTGTGGGCAAAGAAATCAAGTTTTATGCTGCTGTTACACTATGCGGATATTAGCCGAGTCAAGTAAAAAAAAACAGAGGAGTGGGGATGAAATTTATACTTTTTTAACTTTTCGGAGTGTAATATTACTAAGAATCTTCTTGACTTTATCTATTCTTGGTTTCATGTATAGCCTGACCAGGAACATAAAAACCCTCGCCATGTTGCGGAAAACTAATGGTACTAATTTCTTTTAATGGCAACAGTAACTGAAAACTTCATTGACATGTCACCTTGCATGTCAGTCTATCGCTGTCAAAGTGTAAACAAACTTTATTTTAAATGTGCGCAATTGATTTTGTGAATTAAATTGCTAAAATCTTTTTATAGTCGTGAAAGAAAAGTGGTTCACAATGTGTTAAAGTATTTGGCGAAGAGAAATACTAAGGGTTCAGACAATATTTTCATTGAATAATGTTTCCGACAAAGCTTGTCAAATTGACTGACATGTTTATCGTATAGTACAGTCCACTATGAAAATTAGCTGTGGTTTGTTTCATTTCAACTACCAATTTTAAATTTTTTAGTCACTTTCTAAGTGTTGAATTTTATGGAATTGGGAAAGAAGTACCGAGTTTGAAGCGTTCATGAGCAGACATTGCAGTTGAATATTCAAGTTCTGAATTTGATTATTGATGAATAATAAAATAAATCCTACTAGCTCGATTGATGGTTTCATTTAATTTATTTTAACAGGTTACCTATAATAATATTTTTTCGTTAATTTAGGAAAATATCAAATTAGCCCGTAATCCTGAATCCTGATACATAAAGTTAGCCTATTAATTTAACACAGGTACGACTGTACTCAGTGTTGCACTATCAAATGCAATTGACGCGCCTCTATGCCAGGGTTTTTATGTTCCTGGTCAGGCTANAGCAAAAGACTGGCAAAGTAGATTAGGTACAAGTGTGCGTTACGATAATTTGGAATTACAAAACTTGTACTCAAAATCGTGATAACGTGTAAAACAATATCGATTGTCTATGTTATTAACTACTGTTCCTTTTCGTTTCCTAATTTGTTAAGAATGTATCGTATAATATTTTGCCATAGTTTTTTTATAGTCTTGAAATTTATTGAAATCCAATTTAGTAACCCTGTGGTACAAATTATCGAACCGGTTGGCTAAATTGGACCGAAGCTCTGAACTCGTACTTTGTTGATTTGTGCTAAATATACAACAATCATGTTAATTAATACTTATGAAATAGTAAATTGAATAATGTATCTTTTATTATATACCATGGACATTAGCAAAAACAAAAGAAAACTATGTGTAAAATGGGATTGAAAAAAACTGGTCCAAATTAGCGGACTCTCCCTTATATTTCTTTGGCACGGGCTACAGCTTAAACGGCTAAACCGATTTTAGCGTGAGAGGTGTCGTTAGATTCGTCTTAATCGTGAGAATGACACTGGCTGGATTAAAATTGGAAAAAATCAAAAGGGCGGATTTTAGGCGCCATAATGTTTTCAAAAAAAGTTCTTTTCTCAAAGCCTATCGAGTAGGGTATCAAAAAAACAAAGGGCTTTTTAAGTAGCTTACAAAAATGTATGTTATTTAACTAAAAAGATTAAAATAAAATTAGTCATTAATGAATCCAACTGCATTTGTGAACACTAAGTTGTCTTGCCGGGCCGGCACTCGCAGGCGGCGTCGGGCTCGCGGCACTATACACACCTGGTAGTGCGGGCAGGACGCGGCGCGGCAGTCGGCAGGCAGCTCGCACGCGGCGCCCTCGTAGCCGGGCCGGCACTCGCAGGCGGCGTCGGGCTCGCGGCACGTGCCCCCGTTGAGGCAGGGCCGTGCCAAGCAGCCCTCGCCCGCCGCCGCCGCCACGTCGCAGCGCGGGCCCGTCCAGCCCGCCTCACACTCGCAGCGGAAGCCTAGCGGCTGTTGAGAATGTCGTAATGATAACTGACTAGAAATGGTAATAAATGCACAAAGATCCAGTGCATGTCACAAAATTGGTGTCTGTTTTTGTGCCAAAACGATAGTCAAAAGAAGTGATTGCAAGTATTTAAGTGTAATATCAAAATAGATTCAGTTTCATGTTCTGAATTTATTTTTACTTATATCTGAGCAAATAAAAAACTACTTTTTTTGTAAGTGTTCAAAATTATATGTAAGACTCGCACACACTGTGAAATGCAATAAACACTTGCGTATTGAGTACAATGTAAAACTGGGGTGATACAGCGTGAAACGTGACGGGAGCAACACTACAACACACCGCACTACACTGCACTAGAAGCCACAGCGCTACTCACCAGGTCGTGGCAGGCCTTAGCGTGCACGCAGGGCGGCGGCGCGGCGGCGCAGCGATCCCCGCCCACCTTCAGCTCGCCCAGCGCCTTGCCCGCGCCCGCCCCAGCCGGCGCCGGCGCCGGTACCGCCTGCTCGCAGTACGCGCCTGTCCGCACAACATTGAGCCACAAACACGCATACACGGGACGGGAAAACAAAACATGCAGGGCAAATAACAAAAATATTTTTTTAGGTAATCTCAGAATGCTAGAAATTAATGTCAACAAAAATGCCACATTCACGAATGAGTACAGAAAAAATCTAATTAATTAAACTTATTACTCGAAGCAAATTTCAGATGCATGAAAAAATCCTAAGAGTATAGTAAAACCAACAAAATCACAATATTCTAGTCTATCGCATAACTGAATCAATGCATGTGGTATGGAAGCAGCACGAGAGGGGTCACATAGAAATCTGAAGGAAATCTAAAGCCCGGTCCGTGAGCACGTAGAATTTTGTCCAATGACCCCCTCCTTATCACCCGCGCATAATTATATTGCTGTAGCGACTGTGCGACTGTCACCCGCAGTGAGTGTGCGAGCGCGATAGCAACATAATTACGCGCGAGCGATAAGGATGGGTAGCTAGGGGTCATTGGACAAAATTCTACGTGCTCACGGACCAGACTATAGTGTCACTGACGTCATAAAAATACCCTCCCGCGCCGTTCCCATACCTCAGGCACTGACTCCGTTAAGCGCTAGACCTATAGTTGCACTAACAACTTTTAATTAGGAAAAAAAGAACAACAACATTAATAGAAAGAGAAACCGTGCAAAGCCGGGCCTACAGCCAGTGTGCCGTACCTTTGAAACCGGGCGCGCACTCGCACGCGAGCGCGTCGCCGGCGCGCGCGCACGTGGCGCCGTTGAGGCACGCGCCCGCCTCGCACGCCGCCTCGATCGTGCTGCAGTTCGGAGACGGGCCGGGGGCGCCTGATACAACAAAAATGAAGTTTCTAAACTTTGTAGGTCTAAAGGAAACATTACAAAACGATTTTGTGATCAGTGGGCGTAGTGTGAGTTTACGCATTCGATATCGACGGCGTTAAAAAATATATGAAGATTTTAGTTCTTGAAAGTTTCCGCTAGGGGCGTTGTACAATCCATCATACATTATGTCACTTTTTTACGCAGTCGATATTGAATGCGTTTGAAGTAGATTCACACTACGCCCCCAGGCCCCAAGTAGGTTAAAGACGGCCCTGTTTGTGATTGATAAACACGCCACAATCTAAAGCCTGGTCCGTGAGCACGTAGAATCCCGTCCAATGACCCCAAGCTACCCATCCCTATCGCTCGCGCGTAATTATGTTGCTGTCGCGACTGTGCGACGGGCGCCCGCAGTGAGTGTGCGAGCGCGCTCACGTGCTCACGGACCCAGGCTTTACCCCCTGTGCATTAGATACCTTCTTTCAATCACGTTTGAACAAATGTTCAAACGTGGTTGATTAACCTTACTGGTCTTGAATGAAACTAATATTGAAATCAAGGAATAGGAAACCACATGGTAAAATTCTTACCAAAATATCCAACATCACAAACGCAAGTGACTTGTTTCAACACCACGCCGGTCATCATTGTTGGCATGCCTGAAACAAAATAGTACCGAATTAATACCAGACCAAAGTAACATGAATAAATGCATTTTGCCAAATAAGAGGTTATTTTAATTTAGCTTTAAATTTCATCATTTTTAATCCTGTTTGAAGTGTTAAATTTTAGAATTATCCATTTCTCTTCGGTGAGTAATTTAAGGTTGACTTTTTTTTTTTATACACAACGAGGAAGCTCTTGGCCTGTATCTCACCTGATGGTAAGTGATGATCAGCCCGAAGGTGGAAACGAGCTTCGCCCGGAATCCTCAACCACGGAGCAACTGGCTATCTTACCTCTAACTGCCGGAACACAACAATGCTGTTAACATTGTTGTTATGGCGACAAACTTGGCGCAGGCGGCGGGCGCGGGCGGCGGGAGCGGCGTGGTGCACAGCGGCGGCGCCCGGCGCATAGTGTGCGGGGTGTAGCAGCGAGCACTCACCGGCAGCGTGCGCGGGCGCGCAGTGGCTCCGCGGCGGGCACGTGACGTCAGCGCAGGCGGCGGGCGCGGCGGGGGCGGCGGCGGGCGCGGGCGGCGGGAGCGGCGTGGTGCACAGCGGCGGCGCCCAGCCCCGCGCGCACACGCAGCGAAAGCCCAGCCCGCCGCTCTCCTCCACGCACGCGCCGCCCAGCCCGCACGGGCCCGACGCGCACGCTGACATCTGCAAACATTATGGCGCTTAGCAAACTGATATAAACGTCAACGCTCATAGACAGGACCAACATTAGGTTACTTAAAAAATGCTATTACCAATTTAGTGGTAACAATAGCCGAACGATGAAAGTTTAAGACTGGTGGACTTGTGATCCGGGGAACGCGAGTTCGATCCCTGCCGCCGCTAGACTATTGTGGTGAACCCAATCGTAACACAAACATATTTTTAGATTACCATGAGAAGTCAGCGGGATTCTTTAAAAAATAATGTCTTTTTTACATTTCTATCGTCTATCAGAATTCTACCACACAAAAAAAATCGGATGTATCGTAAGCTAAATGGTCCTTCGAGCCGGATGTGCACTTACGATATGACAGCGCTCGCCAGTGTAGCCGGGCTGGCAGGCGCACACGAAGCCGCCGTAGGTGTCGTAGCACACGCCGTGCCCGCACACCGTGCGGTCTTCCGCACATTCGTCCACGTTCACCTCGCAGCGCGCGCCAGTGTAACCTACAATACAAAATTACTGATCAATATGTTGAAATGTAGAAACATTAGGCCGAGTCCGCACTACGACTAAACCACCAATTTTATAACCAAATAAAACTAATGCAAGCGTCCGCATTGCGGCTTTTTCCCACGTATACGTTTCCGGCGGTCTCGCGGTTTGGCGATTTTCCGCTTGCGGGAAAAACCGTAGTGCGGACTCCGCCTTAATATCGAACGTTAACGCAAAGAGGGCTATCGTTTTAGCGCTCACCAGTTAGCGCCACTGTAAAGTCCTGTCACTTGCTAGTAGCGAAGACAGTGGCGCCAACTTGTGAGCGCTAAAGTGGTAGGACGACTATCGCATTTGCACTCATCAAGATGGCGCCACTGTAGAGTAAGGTCCTGTCAATCGCCAAGGGTGCCAACTGTTAAGTTTAAAAACGATAGCCCTCACTGAGTTAGTTGTTTGTCACTAGCGCGGTTTCACCAAATGCTGCCGCTACAGCTGTGTAACAAAATATTTTTAGACCATTAAAACATTGATATGCTGAGTGGGGTCCCGTTGCAGTGGGCATCTTGTTGGTGAATGGGTGGCACTGCTCAGTTTACTCTTGTTTTTATGTTTTTTTTTTCTTCTTCCATTATCATGTGCCACTGTCATGTCTATGTAATTGCCTGTATTTAATAATAATAATAATATAATATAATAATTTATTCATTAAAATAAGAACATTATAAGAACTTATTATGCTAGAGTTTACATATAGTTCAATAGTCTTTTGTAGCCTGAGCTAGGTTAAAAACCTGTGTTTCAGGCGAAAAAAGCTCACACGTAAAATTTATGTAATTAAGTAATAATTAAATAAATTAACAATTTGCTATATTATATAAAATTTTTAAAAATACTTAGGTTAAAACTTAGATTACATAGGTACTACAAGTAGCTCCTCGGTTAAGCCATATGTCAAACATTGTATTTGTGTGATGTCCATTGTAATAAATGTATCTTTCTTTCTTTCCTTGAGACAAGTATCTGATGAGCTCACCTGTGCCAGTACAGTCGCAGGTGAAGTTGTTGACGGCGTCGAGGCAGCGGCCGCCGTGCAGGCAGCCCGTGCCGCCCGCCGCGCTCGCGCATTCGTCAACATCTATCTCGCAGTTACGCCCCGTGTAGCCTGCGACACAACAACAATAATGTAACACTTCACTTTGAAGCTTTATGAGGCCTACCACATAAAATCTATGGGAGAGTCTCGTTCTGACAACTCATAAAAATATGTTTATTAACCCCGTCCGTTTTTTTTTATCTTATTTTTTTAACAATGTTTCAACAGCATTTAATATTGTGCAGGAAGATACTAGGTATCCACGGAAGCTCAGCGTCGTGGTGTCCTTTTCGACACCACGTTGTTTTGTGTCGCAGAATTTCATTTTCATTTAGTCTAGACTAGAATAGAAATGTCAAATCAAAAAAAATCTAATCATTTTTATTTGCGAACATGGGTTTAATTTCAGTAGACAAGTTTTTTAATATCTCCATCAAATCTAAATTATGTCTGTAACTCCTAGATAGTGGTAGCTAACTAACAGCAGGGTAAGTGTATTACCAGAGNAGAAACGCACTGAGCGCGGTTTGTCTGTGAGCGCGCCAATATACGTATGCGGCACGCACGCACACACTGACTAAATTCAGCGCAACCACGACTGGCTCCCCGCTAAATTTTGTCAGTGTGTGCGTGCGCGCCGCATACAAACCGCGCCCGTGCGTTTCTATGAAGATTAGGTCATCTTCATTGTTGCGGACAGCCGCTCGGGCGTGCGGAAATAAGAAAAACCTTCGGATTAAAATGAAGATGTATTCCTGCAAATAAATGCCCACAACGGCTATCAAAAAACATCAACTTCAAACCAAACAAAAGGTATCAAAAGTAATAAAAAAAAGTATAAAAAACATAGACAATATAAAAAAGAGGTTGGTCCACCAATCGGTTCCCAACATTCATTTTGTATTTACTCTGGTATTACCTTCCTGGCAGGCGCACTCGTAGTCGGTGGCGCCGGGCGGCACGCTGCAGCTGCCGTTGTTGCGGCACGGGCCCTCCATGCACAGCGGGTCCAGCGACACCTCCAGCTCGCAGTGCTGGCCTGCGGGAGACACATCCATTCAGTACATTCATAGACATAGAGCAAAGAACGCTCACTCAAACACAGTAATAAGTTTCACAGATAGACACCGGTGATAGGAGTTTAGAATCAAGTGGAAGTGCGCGGGACACATAACTCGTAGAGCTGATGATCACTGGAGAAGTAGTTGTCGAGTGGCGACCGCAGCCCGGAAGAGGTAGTGTGGACAGACCCGCCCACTAGGTGGACCGACGATCTGGTGAAGGTCGCGGGAAATACCTGAATGCGGGCAACGCAGGACCGGTCGTTTTAGAAAACCTTGGGGGAGGTCTTTGTCCAGCAGTGGACGTCATTGAAACAAACGAATGAACGATAGGAGTTGGGTTTTGAGCTGGTATCAAAGCTTTCCCGAATTTGCTGTTCTCCCCTATCTCCCCTTACTCCACGGGTACAGGGTACAAGAGCGGCGGGTACCGTGGTAGTTGGGCGGGCAGCTGCAGGTGTAGTCGCCGCGCGGCGTCTCGAGGCAGCGGCCGGCGTGCTGGCACGGCGCCGAGCGGCACGGGTCGCCCGCGTCCACCTCGCAGTTGTTGCCTGTGTAGCGCGCTGTGCAGTGGCATTCGTACCTGAAATAATATACAAATAAGTCAAAACTCGGGATATGCACTCACGCTCATCCGGCTCGAAGGACCATCTGGCGAACAACGCCAACGTCAAGAAAGATAAGAACACATTGCCATAGAATACGATGAGACACTTAGCGAATATAAAAATTATCCAAAAAAAATATTTTAATAAAGTAAAATAATTTTCACAGTTAAATTGTTAAATCAAGCTCTTGCCTTGCTAGTGGAACAATTATTAGTAGATAACACTCACCGGTCATGTCGTGATATGCACGTTCCGTGTCGCAAGCAGGGTTCATTGTAACAGTGGTCTTTAGGTGGGATTCTTAAAACGTCTTTTCTGTCTTTGCCTGCAAAATAAAAACCGTTATAATTCACACGTACTTTTGAACCTACATCAATGGCATTTGGCATTAAAGAAAGATCTACAACTACATATGAGAGGCAGGGTACAAAATTGGTCGGGTACCGGCTAGTTGGGCGGGCAGCTGATGAAACATAAACTCATGTGTAGACTAGCTAGTTGATCAGAAGCTTTGTCAATTATTTAAAAAAGTGTTAATGTAATTAGGAAAGATCACCAAAGGTCAAGAGCAAGATCTAATTGCAGATTAGCAATGTTAACTAGTGCTAGTCGGAAAACGTAGTGTGGGCAGGTCTCCCATTAGGTTTATTTTATTTATTTATTTAGGACAACCAACAAGACAGACACAAGTACAAGCAGAGTTGTATCGACGATTTGGTAAAGGTCGCGGGAAATATCTGGATGCGGGCAACGCAGGATCGGTGGTTGTGGAAATGAATGGGAGAGGCCTTTGTCCAGCAGTGGACTTCATTAATTGACACGAAGGGATAATAGTGACTGAGTTTCTTGCGCTGCTTCCATTTATTGTCCCGAAGCAATTGTAATGGTAGGGTTAATACTGGAACGTGTAAGGGCTATATTTCACTGGGACACCATGGCGGCGCAACCAGTCGCCGGCTTCCAACAAAATGTATGCAGCTCTATAGAGAGTTACTCACCTGGTGTCCGTTTGGTTGCGCAAAGCTGCATACATTTTGTTGGTAGCCGGCGACTGGTTGCGCCGCCATGGTGTCCCGGTGAAATATAGCCCTAACAGTATTAAAAGCCTACTTGCAATAATTAACTTTTTAAAAAAATAAAACCGACTTCAAATGCGTGAACACAAAAAAAAACTAAAAATTGAAAATATTGCGTATAAAAAAGTTCATCCCCAATTTTCCACCCTTGGGGGTGAAATATTTTCTTCAAATTCGCATGAAACCACCCTTTTGATAATACCTATTCAACAAAAAAATAATCGTTCAAATTGATTTATAATCGGCGGAGATATTGCGTATAAAAAAGTTCATCCCCAATTTTCCACCCTTGGGGGTTGTTTTTTCTATTATTAAATTTAAATGGGACCACCCTTGAGGTATTACCTATACGCCAAAAAAAGATTTTTTCAAATCGGTTCATAATTGGCGGAGTTATCGCGTAACAAACATAGAAAAAAAAAAAAAACATACGGGTCGAATTGAGAACCTCCTCCTTTTTTGAAGTCGGTTGAAAATAAATGAGTTGAATGAGTATACTGACACTCGTCGGTGGTGAGCGGGCAGTGTCCGAAGTGCACGTTGCGGAACTGCGCGGCGGCGGCGTGGAACTCGAGCTGCGGGCCCTCGTGGATGCAGCCGCTGAACACGTTGCCCACCAGCAGCACGGCGCCGCCCGCCTCCAGCGCCTCCGGCGACAGCAGCTCCGGGTTCCACGTCACGTTCGAGATCACCTACGCACACACACGTTGTTTATTTATTATTAGGTACACCAACAAAATCACATGTTTGTCAGTGCATACATTTTTAACTTGGTTAAAAACACATGGTGCGTATAATTAACTCAGTCACAGGTATACACAGTTACTTCTTTTTGGAATATCTAAATATTGCAACTTAATTAGCGCTTGTGATACGAATTTATTTTGTTTTGAAATATGTAAATATTGCAAATAAAAAATTAAGGTACAAGTCTAAGATGGACTGCACACCGCAAACCTACGGTCAGGTCAGGTCACAAGTCACAACCTAATGCTACGTTTAAGCAATGCTAAATTACCCTTACTTAGTTTAGTTACAGAGCTAATTAGAATCTACTATCCCTGGTTTTTAGACTGTATTTATGTATTGTACAGTTATCTGAGATCGAAAAATGTCTCAGAACAATAGACTTCTGCAGTTGATTGAACTACCTCATCAAAATTCACAAGCAGCTGAAGTGAAAGTAGAAATTACGTATAAATCTGTTTGTTACATCTTGATTCGATTCAATTATGTCTAACAAAATCGATAATTTTGTTGTTGAAAATCATTAATTCTCTTTTATTGAGCAAAACTTAATTTATAAAATTTTATACAAAGCTTACGTAACAATAAATACAATTTAAGTTTAATACGTAACAGTGATTCAATAGAGTTCCTAAATATTCATATTGTGTTTTTACTTTATATTTCAAATTAAAAAATAAATCCATATAACATCGTTCATAACACAACTACTTAAGTCAAAACCCGTTCGCGTGCTGACTAAAAACTATCAAATCTTGATCTGTTTACTTGCTCAAAAAACACTTTTAAAATACAAGTACGTCGAAGCTTGAAGAAGTAATCCGTAGTAGTCTGACTAATTAACATTAAGAGGAAAAAAAAAAAAAAAAAAAACCAGTCACGAGTTTGGGTGTTCGAAAATGAATTAAAGCCAACAAAAATAGTTCGTTCACGGAGTGTTGCAAAAAAAATGGTGGCCACGTTTGTCTCCAAAACCGGCCATGTTGCGACTATTCCTCTTGGGGGACAAAGAACGGTTAATGCAGATTAGTATGCTAGCATTTGTTTGCCACAGGTCGTTTCTGAACTCCGTAAAGAGAACTGCAACCGCCGCATCATCCTCCATCACGACAATGCGAGTTCTCACACCGCGCACTGAACAAAAGAGTTTTTAGAGCAAGAAAACATAGAATTATTAGTCCATCCGCCGTACAGCCCCGACCTAAGCCCTAATGATTTCTATACTTTCCCTAAAATAAAGAATAAATTGCGTGGTCAGAGATTTTCATCACCTGAAGAAGCTGTGGAAGCCTACAAAACGGCCATTTTGGAGACCCAAACTTCCGAATGCAGTGGTTGCTTCAATGATTGGTTTCGTGTATGGAAAAATGTGTCAAATTTCGCGGAGAATACTTTAAAAAGCAATAAATACATTTTTAAATAGTAATGTTGTTTCACTCCCTTGATTCCCGAAATTTTCAGTGCCGCCCTCGTACACATGGTCATAAATGCGCAAATGTCATGAAGGTGACAATTTATTCGCAATAAAAATGGGCACGTGCAATAACAAAAGGAACTTGAATAGTATCTGAGTACTACAAGTTTTCGCCATAAACGTTTATACTCGCTAGAACAAAGGATGATCAAGCACGAATAATTCTTATTAGTCTCACATGTGAGGCAGTGAATTTGTTATAGCTCGTGTCACTTTATTGAAACAACAGCTGTGTCATCTACAACAAACATCGTACATGATGAAAGTGAAGATATCATCACATGGCCTACTTAGAAGGGAGGTGACTAGCAGTGACCCTTCGGAAACATAATGGAAAACGTTAGTCGTTTGTATCAACACTGGCTTAGAACAATGGGCGTGTATGGTAAAACAAAATACTTTGCTAGAATGCAGTAATTAGTGGGCGGGTTCTATTCTACGGCTAATGGACGGTGTCTGGAACACAGACTGGATGCGTCAGTGAGACAATGGTATCAATTAAGGTATTCCAATATCTCAAAGAAGTAGTAATCGATACTTTTACGTTGACTAAAACATCTGACAAGTAACATTCAGAGCATGGACAATAATGGTCGGTAATATAATATTTGATGCCGTCTCAAATAACATCATAACACCACAGCGAAAGTTTCTCGTTATTCTTCACGGTTATCAAAATAAATGTCAGCTGGTAATAATGGCAATTCACTAGCAGTAGTGATCCCTAACGACCTCAAGGTATCGTTACGGTTACTACTTCTTCGGAAGACGGAAGCCACACCGTGGAGCGGGTTAATGTAAGCTGAAGTACCTATGTTCGATGATGAGTTGCACGAGTCCTCTATAATGCAAAATGAAATATGAAATGCGTGGCGAAATGAAACATGCGGTTGAGTAGGTACACATCGGATTAATGTTAATCGACATTACGAGTATTATCATGCGAAACTGATTCGCGTTGAATTAATTGAATTAATATGCCATGTAATAATAGTCAAATCAGCCTTGTGCTAACAATAATTTGCTTTTATCTGAGGCATTAGGCATGGCGTTGCATCACGGGCTTATCGAAAAGGTAATTTGAGAAACGTAAGTTGATTTAACGCTGGATTGGAGGTTGAAACGGGTTTCCGATTGGAAACATTACAGATATTTCAATATCAGAGCGATATTATGATAATGTGCGGTTCAATAACTGGTATGCGACATAATTCCCAGCAGATTACGGTGAGCCGAGCAGGCGCGCGCGCACCGCGAGCGTGACGCAAGTGACGTAACGACGCCGACGCGGGCCCGGCCCGAGCCGGCTCCGGCTAATCTGAACTTGCGCACCAGGCAATGATGCAACTGCACACATTCTAAGTTGTCGCTGGGTTTGAGGTCTCAACTCTCAACAGATAGCATCGCAGTGCTGTTATTCAACTGTAAAAGTTATCAATTTTACATTAACGGCAAGGGGTTAGTGGAGTTCAAAATCAATTTTCAGGTTGGAGTAATGTGCTATGTAATAGTCCACTAAGTGTGTTATTTTGATGGAAATCTCTAAATAAATGTTATCACAATCATTCTCCAAAGGTACATAATACATATTATTGCACTCGTATGTTATTTTACTCATGTAGTTTTGGATGGTCTGAAATAACGCTGTTTACCTAAACAAAGCAAAGCCAGCAATGTTACTATTATTCTGTTAATGACCTCAATAGTACGTATTTATGAGTAGGGCAAGTGTCAAATGAATGCCGATATATTCTCATTTGCGGCATTCCGGCGCCGCGGCCGTGCAGTAGCGCTAGTTGCACGCATGCGCTTGATCAGCAAAAAATCGCAGATGCAGCCTCGTAATGAGTTTCAAGACACGACAATTTGATTGATGTCCGCTCCAACTGGCTCGTGATGCAATTTTGATATTTTTTTGATGGTGCGATGGATTTTCTTCAGGGCCAACGTCACCGTCGAAGGTGATTGTATTATCAGAAATTTTGTAGAGCTCTTAAGGNATCGCCTTAATCTGTCCTTGTAAGGAATCCCGTGGCGGGAGGGGGTGAATATTTTCACTTCCGAGATGCGACACCGCAACCGCGATAGTTTTTGTGACGTGAAATGAAAGCAAGCCTCGTGCGACCTTTGGCTAAGGCTGTGTACGTTGGCAACAGAAAGTCTGATTTTGACCCGTATGCCTTATAGTCATTGTAATAAGGAAAAAAGTTGTCTGGGTGTTTCCAAATTAGTGGAAATAACTCGTCCGAGTCAAGTACATTGCAATGCAATTCCATCTCGCACTTGTGCCGCTTAAAAAGTCACATTTGTTTTTAAACTTTAAGGCCACAAGGTACATCTCGTTCTGATGAGATTATAAGTTTTTTTCTTTTCAGAAAATATCATACAACCACAACTGCTTTGGGCCGCAACTTAATAGCAATCAGCGTGATTTTACTAGTAATTGCATTTGGTCTGGCCATAAATTGCTATAATTATCACATCACTAATGAATATGAGTCATACAACGCTGATTGTACGTAGGTACATGATGGTGTTTAGTTAGTTACATTACAAAAGGAAGGCAGTTAAATTATAATAGCAAATATTTGAAGTTATGTCAGAGCGAGCGGTGCATTTTTTACGTGCCGCTAGAATTGAGTCGATCACAGCACCGTTGGCGGTCGTCTGGCTGCGGTTAGAGGCCGTGGTCGGCGGACACTTTTCCGATTGCACAACGTGACGAGTTGGAGGACCACGGACGTTGGTGGCCAATGGAAATCATTATGGAAAAGCGGCCACCAGAATCGAGATTATTCCAAAGAAATTACATTACTGCCAGTCCATTTGTTTTGATTTTGGAAATACGCCTAATAAAAGACTGTCCGAGCCAACTGCCAGCTTCGTTGTAGGTATCAAATTCCGATCCGCTATGCCCTCTTTGAACGTCCAATCAATTCCATGATAAATTGGATTAAAAATACAAGTGTGCCTACGTCCAGGTAGTTACATACGCAAGTCTGATTAACCGCCATTTTCCTATGATCGCTTTCAGTTCCCGTGATTTCATTTACCTGATGCCTTCAAGTGTCTCTCAAACAAGAGCAAGTTATTGGTAGCCATATTCATTTGTCAATCATACAATTTTATAACCAGCAAAAACCTAATTGAATGAAGACTACAATACTCACCAACGCAAGTCCTAAAGCTAAGTCCTACGAGTTGCTTGAGCGATATGGGGCGGGAGAGGTGGATGTAGGAGCTGCCGTTGAAGTAAGCCTCGGGCCGGTCCGACGGGCCCAGCGGGTCCGCCGCGCGCGCCGTCGCCGCCCATAGCAGCAGCGCCAAGCTGCCTGCAACAATGACGAACACAGGTTAACGATGTGCTCATTATTTTTTTATAGTGGACTCTTCTTCTTCTTGTCGTGTCGACAACAAACCTACACAGCGTCAGCCCAAAACTCTGCCACAAGAGTGGCGGTGTCAGTAGCCTTCATTATATCTTCCTGCGTGCAGTTATTTGGGCAAGCAGGGCACGACATCATGTGCTTCGTCGACTGGGGAATAGTGGACTCTGTTGTATAAAGATACATGGTACCTACGCAGTACGAGTTATTTTACATTGTTAGTCGGTTAAGGTTAAGGATTTACTGCTGCTGAACACAACGTGAGACCCGCATCTTGCAACAGTACCGCAGCCTCCGAGCGGACTTACTGGTAACAGGATAATAAAGACTTCTAACTCGGTAAATACGTACCAAATTGATAAATTACGTAATCATATCAATTACCAATTTATTAATTCTGATTTGCAATTATTTAACCGTGTATTTTCCTGAATTGTATTGTTAATTTTTCCTTATTCTTGTCCTCAACAATTAAATTAAATAATAAATACTTATTAAGTAACATGAGATAAAATATGTATTAATTTATTCCTACAGTACACACGCATGTTTTTTAATGTTTCAAGTTGTAATATTTTTTTAATAAAAAGATAGTTAATCATTTTTGAATGAATTCATAAGTATAATATTGTATTATTCAGCAGTGGACGTCCTATGGCTGAAATGATGATGATGATGATGATGATGATGATTGTATTATACCACTAATAAGTAAAGTTTAAATAACTTTCTAGACATGATTCTATTCTAGAATTGAAAGGCACAGAAAGTATCACCTAAGTTTAGTTAGGTAAACCAAATATCCCTATATTGTTGACATTCCACCAGCTCGCACTAAGCGCTTCGATGACTCTTTTATACCTACATATAATGCGAACAGCTAGGGACTGGAATTCGCTGCCTGCTGCTGTCTTTCCCGAAGACTATAATCCGGGCATTTTCAAGGCGAGAGTGAATAGGCACTTACAGGGCAGATATGTAATTATGTACCATCCTAGACTGCATCCCACTTAACATCAAGTGCGATTGTGGTAAAATAACTGCCTTGTTATGCATAAAAAAAAAAGGGACAATATTATTTGATCCTCTAAAAACTAATTGATCTTTTTTGTATGTGCACTTTTAAAAATAAATGATGTTTTTTATTATATTTTATCTTTTTAATAATGTTTGGGTCTATATTAGTTGATCTACGGATAAATTATGAATGATCTTCATTTAAGGTAACATAATATTTATGTTTAACATACTCTTTTAATATTTAGTAAACAAAAATAATATTTGATCCTCTTTTTTAGTTATTGATCTTTAATTTTATTTATTTGATGATTTTTATATCAAGTTTGCCTTTTAATATTGATCATCTAATAAATACATTTCGATCTAAGTATAACTTAACTATAAAATATATTTGATCTAACTAAAAATATTATTGGTTAATATTTTTAATTAAAAAATATCTCTTAATTTACTCGGTACTTTGTGGTTGAGTGACAATCGTCCGTCATTGGTCGTTTACTGAGTTGGCCAAGGGCTTAGCGGCCAATAAGCAAGCAGAATGGTACATTGCCATGTTTGTTTAAATTACAAGCTGTGCTTAGTTTGGGACTAGAAGCGCTATGTAAAATAATTTTATACTTCTGGCATCCCTGAACCTGACATCATAATTTTTACCTCTTTATTTATTTTTTCAAATCGCAAGGGTGATTTTCTCTTAGTATACCGATCTCGACCGTGATCAGTGACCATAGAGTCATCTGTCAACGGGTCGATTAGACCCGATAAAAGTACTAAACGATATTTTTTTACTTTTAGTGCGACATCGGGTCGTAAGGACCTGATAAGTTTTTTTTCCAAATATTTACTGTGTTTGACGAAACAATTGCAAAACAATATTTATTTTTCGTACTACTGAAAAGACCGAATATATCCATCCCGCAGCAACGCATCCAGCACCTAAGGTCAATTCGACCCGATAACGCAGTGTGAACGTGTTAAGTATGCTTTTTTAATAAAAAATAAATCTTTGAACATCAGGTGCCTTTAAATAGTTTCCATCCTTTGACTACAACTTAATAAAAATAAGTACCATAACATAATTATTTTGAAGATTATTTGATATAGACAAAAAAATAATTTATACAAATCAAATTATTTAAAAAAGTATCACAATATTGAATATTTGGTGCTCATTTCTCTTATTTTTGAGGACCAACAAGTAACGATCAGATATAATTTTTACGTCTCAAAATTTTTTTGCGTAGTTCAAAAGAGGTTAAAATATCGATCGATTTCATTTATTATATGTCTCAAAGAAAGAGGATCAATCATTAAAATAGATGACCATTTAGATTTTTTTATTTGCCATTTTAGCTAATTAAAAAAGATCATTTAAATACATGCCAAAAAAAAAAATATAAACAGGCTTTGTCTCCCACATTCATTTACATAACTATAATACCTAGTTAAAATATTTAATCCGTTATTCATGTTTGCACACACATTGAATTACTCTATTTCCTGTAGTTTGGCGATGTCTTGTTTCCAATATGAACTACCATCACCAAATTCGTACTGGGTGACTAAACTTTATATTATGTGTGTTGTACCCATAAGAACAAAATGTATGCGTGCGTAGAATTAATTATTGCTTACTGCGATACCTGTCACCACAACAATACCACATTATAACATCGGAAGGTGCATTTATGCTTAAACAACTATGTATAACTAGCCAAAGACTATACTTAAACAAAACTCACGGGATAGACTTAGTAGACTTGTTTGAAAATGTTTAATAGTAAGTTTTAAATTCATATTTAAGAAATAAACCATCATTAAAGTCTCAAATAAGTAGGTTTTTAATTACATATCTGATACTGCATGTTAACAAGAACCTTTAAGTGAAAGAAGTTTAGAGAAAACTAATTTAGTATAGCAGAGTGACCACCATGTTTAAATTGTACAAAGGGTATTTAATTTAGTTTGTAGAAATCTTACGACGGCTGCATAGAGCTGGCCAGCGGCCAATGTCACTCAGTTCCTTGACTCCGGTGATGCTCCAGGAATCCAATTAGGGACACCACAGCACCTGCGTAATCGAGTTACGATCGATTCGCGCCGCTCAACATCGATACACGCAACTCAATTCACAAGCGATGAAAGCTCTTATCGATTAGAAAACGTCGAGTCTGTCGTCGATCCGTGTCTAATCCATAACTGTGCAGTATATTGCATGGTACCGCACTATCACTTCGCAGAAATTCCACCAATTTTAATTTAACCGTATCTTTCTAAAACTAAAGAGACAAAGTAACGGCAAGTTTAATTAAATGCGATGACTGTATCATTACTAACAATGTCTAAGATCCGTCCTATACAATCTTTGAAGTCTGTTTCAGTCGTGGGAGCATTTTAATAGTAGAGCCACTTAGCCGGCTATATTTTTTCAACGGCTGTTCATCATTTTATGTAAGCGCTTGAAAACTTATTTGTAAGTTTTTCAACCGACTTCAAAAAAGGAGGAGGTTCTCAATTCGACCCGTATGTTTTTTTTTTTTATGAATCCGTTAGTCAAAAAATGAGTGCCTCAAGGATAACGCGAATATTTAGTTTGGATTCTTACGAGGGGCTATTGGACCTAGAAGATGAACATAGATTGTATGCATTAGGTACTTTCTGTAATAGATCAAAAATACAAGCACAAGCTAATCTAGCTACCTTTCGCCACAACTTCTGTAGACGTTGCAATTAATCTAATGCATTCATGTACATGTATAGCAAAAACAAGTCTACAACCAGTCTATCGAGCCGTGGGATATGTTAATCGCGTGTCAATAAAATTCTCGACTGCATGCAATTGCACGGCATATCAGCGACACGCGTGCGTTGCGCGAGCGCTGGCACGCAACGCTCGCGGCTGTTGCGACTGCTGTCAATGACTGCACCGCCAACCGATGCTTGATGCAATGCAACCGAATTTATCAATGGTAGAAGACGAACAATTACCAATTGAAGACGACAGGAACAGTGTATCATCTACTCTTGAGACAATTACACACAGTACAATAATACCAAAATGGAGATATACCAGTGACCAAGAGTTTTGAAGTTTTAGCAGCGTACTAGCTAGAACAACGGGCGGATGTGTGGTTGTCAAGAGGTACTGATGTATTCTATTGAGAACTCGGTTTTTGCACACTCAGTTCATTCGTCATGGAACTATGAATCGCAAACGCGTTCTTAGTTATTTCAAAAATAAACAAAAAATATGGCCTTAGAAGATACTTGAGTTCAAAGCTGGAATGTATTCATAATGAAACTGGCAAGTAAAGTCATTCATACTCGTGTAATACCGATACCGTTAGCCAGGAACGATAACAAAGCGCAAAATTGGAGCGAAGAACTGTAAGCAAAATAACAGAGGCAAATTGTTTTCAGATTCCCAGCGACATAGCCGTGAACCTCTATTATTCGGAGGAGTAGCGGGCCGCTAATAGAATTGTCAGCCTTAGGCCTCCGCTCCGCCGCCGCAGCCGGCGTAGGCGCCGACGCGAGCGAGGCTGCACTTGCGAGTTGCGACATTCGCAGTAACGCGACCACTGTAATGTGGTACCACCAGCCAAAGTGAACTCTCTTGCCACACACGCAAGGCTGATAAGATACTATTGTTATTCGACACAACAATAGGCCGTTACATACAACCTCAGCCGTTGTAGAACGTCTCGATTCGGCTGATTTGAACTGGACGTAAACAAATTGGGAAAACCCTCCACTAAAGAATCTACAAAAGCTATCGACAAAAGAATACTATAATGCAGTTTTAAGTATCTCTCACACACAATAAAAGTTTATCGGGCAAGTCGATTTCAAGTCATTCATCGCCCATGTCATGCGCATAGCGGCGCGGTGACGTCACGCAGGCAGGTAGCGCCGCACACCGGCGC